ACATCCCAAATCAGCCATTCTCTTACAATAGACAGTGACACAATCCTTGTCATTCTTAACAAAATCAAAATCAAAATCAAAATCAAAACCGGAATGAATAGAATACTTTGACTAAGAGAGGAAAAAAAACAGGGGTAAAACGGTACCAAAAAAAAAAAGGCTCAGGACCTGTTGGTACACAAGAGCAATCTTCAGGACTAAGAGGGGAAATTTTTTAAAAAGTAGGACCGGCCAGTAAAAAACCTTAATTTTTTAAACACATTCAACTTTCGGGCTAGATTTGGAATTTTTGGTTTCTAGCCTAGCCCAGCATGCTAATAAAATATTTATTTACCTCTAAATATATTTTTTACAAACTATTTATATTGTTTAGTGCATATTTCATATAAACTGTTTGCTTGTAGGGTGTTAAAAAAAATCGAATCGGTAGACAGATTCAATTTGGTTTAAATCACCAATTTGATCTAATTTTTATTGGCTTATGTTCTAGTTCTGATTTTGAAAATAGTAGAACCATTTAAATCGGTCTAGTTCCTACTTCTAAGGTTTTGGTTACAATTTTGAACCAAATCGAACCGGACTGTGACATATTTATTTATGTAAAAATTAAAATATAAAAAGTCTCTTATAAGATATGAATACTAACCTTCATTATGAATTGATAAACTCTAATCAAATTGACTAACTTAATTATTGTTAGTTTGTTTATTAGTATAAAATATATTTCATATTTATTGTTATACAAAATTTCTAAAATCGAATCGAACCAAATCGGTTTCTATGATTTGATTTTGATCCGGTTCCACAGTTTAACAATTAAAAAATTTAAAGTTCATGAAATTTAAATTTGAAGGTTTAATTTGTTATAAGAGTTCAACCTTAAATTTTTTTTTTTTATAATAATTTTCCTTAATAATTATTATTATTACAAGGAAAATTTACCTATAAATCCTATATTGAGGAATGATGATCTGATTAGTCCGAAGAGTTTTCTTATAGACCAATTAGTCCCATTGATTTTGGAAAAATAAATTTAATACATTATTTGAAAATTAAATTTATGATTATACCCTTATTTCTATTATATTTTCTTCCTCTTTTTTTTTGGTGTTTGGGAAGAATTTTAGTTAGGTTTTTTCTCATTTTTTCCACTAAAAGACAAAAATTTTGCAAAACCAAAAAAAAACACTTTCAAACAAAATATCACATCCAACCCCATAATCATTTCACTTTTTCTCTCACAAACATCACATCTAACCACAAAAAAACCCAACTATCTTCCCAAACACAAAAAAAAAATTTCTTCAATAATATCTTACATCTAAAAAAATCTACATAAAAATCTACTTTCCAAACACCATGAGAATCAAATTTTGGATGAATTTTTATGTGGGAATCTTTTTTATTTGGAATGACTTGAAATATGAGATTCTTCAAATATTTCAAAAGGAGTACAAAAACTTCTTCGTAAATTTTGATCAAATGTATAATTTCAATCTATAACATTTCAATGTAACACTCAAACATAACACTTCAAAAAAAACTCCTTATTATATTTTTTTCAAATGTAACACTCCAATATAACATTCCAAAAAAACTCATTATACTTTTTTCAAACGTAACATTCCAATATAACACTTCAAAAAAACTCTTTAGTATAACACTCGAATGTAATATATAAAAAAATTTCTTAGTGTATTTTTTTCAAATGTAATATCTCAATGTAATACTCCAGAAAAAGGATGCGGGACTTTTGAAACTATTCCAAAAAGGTGTGAGATTCTTCAAACTATTACAAAAGAAGTACAAAAATTCCTTAGTAAGTTTTGGGTAAATGTATAATTTAAAACTGTGAGTGTTACGTTTGGAGAAAGTATACGAAGTAACTTTTTAGTATTTTTATATGTGTTATATTGAAGTATTACATTTGAAATTACATTGATTGGAGTGTTACATTTAGAAAAAAATATACTAAGGAATTTTTTGTGTGTTATATTTAAGAAAAGTTTGGAGTGTTACGTTGTTACATTTAGAAAAAGTACACTAATGAGTTTTTAAGTATGTTACATTAGAGTATTACGTTATTGAAGTGTTACATTAGAGTATTACGTTTTTATTCGTAATGTGAGATTTATTCTAGAAAGTGAGAAAATCCATAACTTCTATAGCACGGATTGTCCAAATGCGTAATTTCACATTTTGAGAAATCTATTTTTATTTCTCAAAAATTAAACATAAACGTGTAAGTGACTACAATTTTATGTAATTTATCCATTAATGAGACCTTTTTATTTATTAAAAAAAAAAACTAACCAATTTACAAAGTTATATTTTAAAATTATTAAGACTTGGTCTAATAATCTTGAGGTTATAAGTTCAAGTTTTGGGGCCACCACTTTATGTATTATGCCAAAGATTAAGTATCTATTCAATCTTTCCTCTCTCAAACACACATTAATGTATACTAATGTTGTTGTTATATTTTAAGATTTATTCAATTTGTTTGGTCTGAGTTTTTTTGAATTAAGTTTTTTGAAAACTGAATTTTTTTATTTTCGTGTTTTTTTGTTTTTAGTTAATATTTTTAAAATTTTAAACATTTTTTTTACTTTTTTAGATGCACCTTACTTAGATGTATTTAAAAAGTAAAAAAATTGTGAAAAAATATTTTTAAAAATTAATAAATATATAAAAATACAAAAAATGTACTGAATTCTGGTTTTTATTTTTATTTTTGGTATTTAGTGAATTTTTAAAAAGTTTTTTCACAATTTTTTTATTTTTTAGGTATATTTATGTTAGGTATGTCTAAAAAGTAAAAAAAAAAATTGCTTAACACATTAAAAAAATTCAATAAAAATACGAAAAATAAGAAAATAAAATTTTTTGAAAAGTGTTTTTAAAAAAAAGAATCAAGCAAAGATTAGTGTTAGTGGGGGAGGGGTTTCCGACTCCTCTCTCTCTATTTTGAGAGCTTCTCTCTCTAAACTTTTCTCCCTCTAGGATTTCAGATTTTGTGGCTACCGGCAGTGGGGGAGGGGTTGTCAGCGGCCTCCGGCTTCCTCTCCCCTCCTCCTACCCTTCTCTTGCTCTTCATTTTCCTTACTTTGCTTTCCCATAACTTGGAAGCTTTGACTTTCCATCATCTCCCTCCTTTGTGAGGTGTTTTTCTCTCATCCATTGACTCCGAGAGTGGCCTTTTCTGATCTGCACCTTCTCCGCTGCCTTCACCACCTCATCACTGTCGTCTTCTCCATAGCTTGATTTGCCGACGCTAAATTCACCTCCCCGCAACCTTCATCGCCTTTTTTTCGCCTCTCCCGCCACCTTTACCGCCTCTTCTCCACTGCCTCTTCATCGCCATTCTTCTCCACCACCGAATCCGCTGAAGCCGTTGCCGGACTTGTTTAGGTATGGGTCTGTTATGCTTTGTTTGTTTGGTTTAGTCCTATGTTTGTTTTCTTTTGTTTTTCTTTTCCTATGGTTTACGTTGGTTTTGGGTTTGTTTGGTTCTTTTAGAGTCCATCTGTGCGATTTGTTAAGCTTACCCTCATTGTGGTTAAGATTTATGATTTATTTCAAACATGCTCTATTGCCGAACTTTTATGATCGACTCTGCTTCGCAGTACGAACACGAGTACGATATGTACGTCTGAATATTTTTATAGTTTTCTTCCTTAGTGCTTCTTGCTTTATTTTCACTGTGTTTTGGTGTAAGTTTTGGGGATTGGGGGTCCTTGCTGTGGAGAATTCACAGCCGTGACTGCTGTGACGTAAAACGCCACCGTTTTAATTTTTTTTATTTATTTAATTAATGTGAGGGTTTATTAATTCTTCTCTCACTATAACAAACAAAACAATAAACCTAGGGCCGCCGCCGTCTTCACTGTAAGCAAAAGGTCTCTATTGACATGGATTGAAAGGTTAGTTTTTATTTATTTTTTATTTATTTGTCTGCCAAAACATTTTTGTACAGGGCTGCCGCCGTCTTCACGGTAAGCAAAAGTCTCTATTGACATGGATTGAAAAGTTAGTTTTTATTTCTTATTTTTTTATTTTCTAACATTTTTGTCTTCTCTCAAATAGATTGAACAGTGTTCTCTATTTTTGCTTCATCGTTCTTCTGCTGGATTTACAGACCATTATTGTTCAACAAACTGGTATGTATATCTATATATATATTATATGTATATATGCTTTGTATTTTGTTTTGTACAGTATGTTAGTGGGTTGAACAAGTATAATAGTTTGGTTTGTTTTTTGTGAATGGATTGAGAAACACAATTGTATATTATAAGAAATTTTTTTTTATTATGTAATTTGTTTTGTACATATTATGTATTTTTGTATAAATATTATATAATTTTTTTAAGGAGTTACGATAATTTGTAATTCATAATTATTTTTTTTATAGCAATGTTATGTATTTTTGTGGAAATATTACACATTTTTATAATAATGTTATTTATTTTTGTAATAATGTTATGCATTTTGTGGTCTAAAAAAAGTTTCAATAAAATGCAAATTTATATAATCTTACTATAAAATTTATAATCTTTCTATAATCTTACTATAAAATGCGAATTTAATTTTTTAATCATAAATTGTTATAACTCAATAAAAAATGACATAACATTTGTAACAAAAATACAAAACATATATCAAAAATTTATATAATAAGAGGGCATATGATTCACATCTTTAAGCGTGTCTGCCAAAAGATTCCCTATATTATATAACATACTAATGCTAATATAATTTTGCAATTGTATATTATAATCTACTCAGATACAATAAATTTCCAATGTTACTGTATAAATTACACATCTTTTTTTCCCTCTCCCCTATCCTTTTAATTAATTTACATTATTAATTGATTTATTAGATTTCATTTGTTTAATTACTCAGCATTTAAAATTAATTAATAACTTTTTTGCTCAGATTCTTGTTTCGTTTAATATATATATATATATATATTCCCCATATTTGTTAGTGTTGAAATGGAGGATAGTATAATGGATAATGGTGGACTTGAGGGATGCATCGAAGAAATGAGAGAGTTGGCCAAGGATAAATCACCATATCTTGGTATGGAGTTTCCATCAGAAAAAGCTGCATATGAGTTTTATAATGAATACGGAAGAATTGTGGGGTTTAGTATTAGAAGAGATTATTGTAACAAAAGTCAAAAAGATGGTGTTATGACTAGTAGAAAGTTTGTTTGTTGTAAGGAGGGAGAGAGGGAAAAAGATAAACGGTACACGATGATAAAAAATCCTCGAAGTGAGACAAGAACAAATTGTAAAGCATTTATGCATATATCTTTTAAGCGGGACTTGTCAAAGTGGATTGTGTCGAAGTTTGATAGCAACCACAACCACCCTTTGCATCCTCTTCAATGTACTCATTTGATGCCATCTCAGAGAAAGGTATGTGATGCTCAGGGTATAAATATTGACATAGCTGATGAGAGTGGAATATCTCTTAAGGCTTCATATAATCTTATTAGTGCTATAGCAGGAGGGAAGGAATTTGTAGGGTTCATGCAAGAGGATCAGAAAACCTACTTACGTGCAAAAAGATAGTGAAACTTGCAGTATGGTGAAGCAGGGAGTTTGTTAAGATATTTCCAGCAGCAAGTGGCAAAAAATCCATATTTTTACTATGCCATTCAGTTGGATGTAGATGAGATGATTACTAATATTTTTTGGGCTGATCATCAGATGATAACAGATTATGGGCTTTTCGGTGATACGGTGTCATTCGACACAACTTTTCGAATAAATAAGGAGTACCGTCCACTTGTTTTATTTTCTGGCTTTAACCACTTTAGAATGACAGTGATTTTTGGTGCAGCATTATTATATGATGAAACTACAGAGTCATTTGAATGGTTATTTGAAACATTTTTGGATGCAATGTCAGGAAAAAAGTCTGTTAGTTTTTTCACAGATCAAGATCAAGCAATGGCTAAGGCAATTTCACAAATCATGCCTGAGGTTTTTCATGGGTTGTGCACTTTTCACCTAATGCAAAATGCTTTGAAGCATTTAGGTTGCTTGCTCAAGAGTGGTTCAAAATTTAGTAGCGATTTAAAAGCTTGCATTTATGACTACGAGAATGAGCATGAATTAATTGAAGCTTGAAATTCTTTGATTGATAAATACAACTTGCAAGAGAATGAGTGGATGATAAGAACTTGGAGAAAAAGAGAGCAGTGGGCGCATGTGTATATGAAGTGGGTATTTACTGGAGGAATGCGAAGCACACAACTTAGTGAAAGTCTAAATGGAACATTAAGGGGATATTTGAAAGGTGATCATAACATTGTTCAATTCTTTACTCACTTTAATCGGATTGTTGTAGATAAGCGATATGAGGAAATTTCTGCAATATATAATTCTAGACAAAAGTTGCCAAGAATGAAATTGAAAAAGTCTCTTATTTTAATCCAAGTTGCGAGTTTGTACACCCCTCCTATCTTTGATTTATTTCATTGTGAGTTGGATACGTCCCTTTGTTGTCAAGTGAAGCAATTCCATGAGTTAGAAGGAGAAGTTAAGTGCGTGATTGGCTTGTATGGTAATGGTAAAGAGTATATTGTGGAGGGTAGGGTGGAAGTTATTGGGCTAAGAGGAGAAAAAAGTTGTCAAGAAATACATTGTACTTGTAAGAAATTTGAGAACTTTGGAATTTTATGTAGTCATGCAATCAAAGCACTTGATAGAATGAATGTTATGAAAATTTCCGAAAGGTATATATTAGGCCGATGGAGATTGGATGCAAAAGATTGTGAAGTTGAAGAAAAAAATGTTGTAGTGGATGAGGATGATTCGAAGTTGTTAATATTAGCACGTTATAGAGATCTTTGTCCAAGAACGGTGAAACTAGCAACTCAAGCATCTATGCACAAACCTGCCTATCAATTGGCTGATGAAGGAATTAAGGAATTGTGTGTAAAAGTAAATAATATGATAAAGGAAGTTGGAAATTTTGGTACCAATGAATTAGATGTGGACGACCCCAACTTTGCACAAGTTAAGGGCATAAAGAAGAAAGATGTTGGACACAAAGGGAGGGGTAGATTAAAACCTTGGCATGAGATGATGAATAAGAAGACAAAAGTTATTTCACAACCTACTCGCCTTAGTAAGGTATTACCTACGTACTTTTGAAATTTCAAATGACATGCATTTATTTTTATAAATTGTGTAAAGTATTGATAACTTTTTGAATTTCTTTAGACTATTGGTCAATCAAGCAACACTACAAATGTTCAAAATTCATCCTCAAGCCAACAACAGGTTAGCTATTGTTTTATGTTACTTATTTTTTTTTATTATTATTTTTTTTATAAATTGTGTAATGTATTCATAAATTTAACAACTTATGTAGATTATTGGTCAATCAAGCAATATCACAAATGTTCAAAATTCATCTTTAAGTCAACCACAAATTAGCTCTTGGTTTATGTTATTTTGTTTATTTTTTAGACTACATTGTATTAGTGTATTTACTTTTCATAGTGTTTTATGGAGTAGGATGGTGGGAGTCTCTATTGGCCACAATTGATAACTTATGGGTATAATCTTCTCACACATGATACTAATTCATACTCACCAAGGTATCCACAATTACAACCTTTGTCCTTTCCAAGCATCACATAGTCCACAAAGTTTTCAAGTAAGTAATATATATATATATATATATGTTTGTAATATAATTTAGTCCATAAAATTTATTCTAATGAATTTTCTTTTCTTTTCTTTTTTTTTTTTATAGGGAATATCACTTAATCCAGTGGGGCACAATCCAATGGAGACCGAATTTAGAAATGAGAGTTTTTTTAATTTATCTATTTATTCCCAACCGCCTCCACAAAATTGACATGGGGATCCACTTTGTAGTTTTTGTTTTGAGAATTCAAATTGAAGGTTTTTAGAATTTTGTTTGGATAATTTAGAATGGTTGAGACAGATTTTGGGATATTTGGTAGGAGATTTTGAAGTTTAAATGTCTCAGAATTTTGTTTTATTTTTTTTATATAGATGTTGGATGTGAATTGAATATATTTTGGCCTTAAGTTGGTTTTTTTTTTTTTTTTTTTGAAGTTACATTTTTTTTGCTTATGGTTTGATAAATTGATTTGTTCAAATACAATTTTTTTCCCTTTCAATTTCACTTTTGATGCATTTAACTCAGTTTTGAAAAAGTCAAAACATGTAGGGTTTGTTTGATTTTAATTTTAAAATTAATCTTTTTAAAAAAATACAATTTGATTTCATAAATTGATTTGTTCCATGAATTATCTTTTATGGAAAATTTACCCATAAGTCCTAGTTTTTGAAACGTTGAACCATTTAGTCCTAAAAGTTTTCTTATGCTCCATTTAGTCCCATTTTTACATCAACATGATGTGAATGATGTAAATGATCTGATGTTTCATTCTATAATTTCAAAATTTATTGAAATCTGATGAACATTAGATGTTTTTCATCCTATATTTTCAAACATTATTGAAATTTGATGAACATTAGATGTTTGAAATCCAATGTTTGTAACATGACTCTGATGTTATTAACATTGTATCTGATGTTATTAACATTGTAATGGGACCTTTCAGTCTATAAGAAAACTTTTAAGACTAAACAGTGCATAAGTTATTAATTTTGGATTTATTGGTGCATCCCCCTTATTTTTATTTTATTATATTTTCTATTTATAAAATAATTTTTTTTAACACAAACTCACCACCTTCAACTTTACAGGACCGCGGGACCTAGGAGATGGCTCCATCCCTGTTAGGTTTATTGTTTTGTTTGTTATAGTGAAAGAATTAATGAAGAATTAATGAACACTCACATTAATTAAATTAAAAAAAAAATTAAAATGATGGCGTCACGGTTGTGAATTCTCCACAGCAGGGATCCCTCCTCCAAGTTTTGGATTGTTTGAACTCTTGTAAGTACAATTTAACTTTCTTAAATGACATATTTCTTTTCCGATCAAAAAAAAAAAAATTAGTGTTGCACCATATTACAAAATAGCAAAGAAAAAAGAAAATAAAATGACAAGAAAGAAAAAGAAAACGGCATGAAGGGAAAAGGCATAACGGTTATCGTTGGGGGGATCCGATTCGACTTCATCAAAAGTGGTCCCCGTTTGCCTCCTGGAGGGGGCATAAAATAAGCAATCAAAGCATCTCTCTCCCTCTCCCCTCCAACAACTTTGATCAGACACAGAAACAGAGAGAGAGAGAGAGAGCTTGAATGGCGAACAGTGTTGACGATGATCAAAAGCCTCTGAAAAAGATAGCAGAGGCGTTCAAAGACCTCGCCAACACGTTGAATTCACAAACACCAGATGCCCAACTCGAAGTCGGCCCTTTCTCTCACGCCTGCTCTCTCGTCTCCCCTCTCTTTGGCTGCCTTGGCATCGCCTTCAAGTTCGCCGAAATGGACTACGTCTCCAAGGTTCACTTTTATCGCCTAAACCATCATCATTTTTTTCCCATTTCATTTCGTCTATTTATTACTCCTAAGACAGTTTATTCAAATCAGTAAGAGTTAAAAAGCCTAATTTGATAAGCAACAAGGTCATTTCAATTTCAATACTTGAACATACAATCAAACACTCAAATGAGGGATGGAGAAGAAGAATATCAGAATTGGGTTGAATTGTCTATTGACTTTATTTTTTTTATTTTTTAAAAAAAAATTCAGTTCATATGATCCAATTGAAGACAGTTAATTCAAATTAGTAAGATTTAAAGCATAATTTGATAAGGGAAAAGGTCATTTCAAAATTTGAACAACTTAAATCATACAATCAAACACTCAATTGAGGGATGGAGAAGAAAAATATGAGTATTTTGGTTGTAGGATTTTAGTTGTCTGTCTATCTAACACAGTGTAAATAAGAACATGGGTGTTTGATGGTATGATTTAGGTTGTCCATATTGTTATATAGGGATAATTTCACTTTTATGGAATAATCTATCATCGTTTTTAAACTTTGAATTTCGTCTATTTAGTCCTAATTTTTTTGATTTCAGTTCATATGTGGAATTCAAGACAGTTAATTTAAATCAGTAAGAGTTAAAGCCTAATTTCATAGCAAAAAGGTCATTTCAAAATTTGATCAACTTAAATCTGACAATCAAACACTCAATTGAGGGATGGATGGAGAAGAATATGAGTATTTGGTTGTAGGATGTAAGATGTCTAACACAGTGTAAATAAGAAGATGGGTGTTTGATGTTGTAATTTAGGTTGTTCAGATTGTAAAATTACCCTTTTACTGATTAGTTTAGGCTCTTACTTGTTATTGATTTGGACTGGCTGTCTACAATTGGACCATATAAATTGAAAACTAAATAGACGAAATTGATAGTTTTTGGTTGAAATAGCAAAAATAAAAAATAAAAAAAAAATGATGATAGATTAGGAGATAAAAAAAATGAAATTAATATATATAAAAGGTATATGTGTATGTAATTGTGTTTTTGCTTTGTGTATGTGGTTTGATGACTTTGATTGATGGGTTGATTGAACAGGTTCATGATCTTTGTGAGACATCGCAGTCAATTGGGACTTTGCAGATAATGATCGATCGTGATATGGAGGCGAATTGTGTGAGGAAAGGCGGGAGTCATACGAGGAACCTTTTGAGAGTGAAGCGTGGGTTGGACATGGTTAGGGTATTGTTTGAGCAGATTATAGTTACAGAGTATGTTCATTGAACTTTTTCTATTTAATAATCTTTAGAAATGATGATTTAAATTCGTGTTTGTTACACGCCATACTATCTAAGGGTTTGGTTGGTTCCAAGTTTGGACTTGATAATCCATTTTTTCTTTTCCGCTCAAACTAGAATGCCTTGAAGTAATATCTATAAATGTTGGATTGTATATGGATTTAACTCTAGATATTTGATACTAGCTTGGAAATGGATGTGCTGGTTTCTGGTCTGAAATCAGATTCATCACTTGGACCTCCCAAATTTGGCTGTTTTGATTACTTGGTTGGACTATTCTTATGAGGGAAAGATGAAAGAGGATGTTAGAATAGATAAATGGTCATCTAGAGATGCTTGTATGATTGATGAAATTAGGAGGTATTAGGCAAGGCTGATCATGAATTATGATATGGAGTGCTGAGCAACCAGCAACATGGGAAAGCTAAAGCTAAAAACATGCACAGTTGTGAGATGAATGATGTAGCTTAATTGGGGGCAAGATGTAAAAAAGTAGGCTAAGATGTTTGGGATATTTAAAGGCCCAAAAGTGCAATTGTGAGGATGAAGTTAGATTTCTATTGCATGCACTAAAGAAAGGCCTGAAGGAACATGAATCAAGGTCGCAAGAGAATAAGACGTTATGAGAGAAAACATGGTCTAGATAAAGCAGGATACGCTTATCTTAAAAAGGTGACGATATAGGAGCTGTTGAACTGTAAGAGCATATGGAAGAGGATATGAGCCATTGGATGATGGACTTGGTTCTGCTTTTAATACTAACATGCGCATGGCTTTGGCATGAAGTCTGTATAGTTGGAACCTAAACAAAGTCTAATTAGAAATCAATCCCTTAGTTTTGTGTTGTATAGAATTAGTTGTTGAGCTATATTTTGTATGTTGTTAGACCACTAAGTTGTGGTATGTGGATGACCTGTGCACACATATTCTTAATAAGTAGTTATAATTTTAACTTATATATGGAAATCCACTGTTTATGCATTGTTTTTTATTTTTATTTTTATTTTTTTCCACTATCACTTTTTATTTTTTATTTTATGTTATAAACTTGTAAATAGGTGTTCTCTTGTTCATTATTTTTATAACTCATTGAAACTGTAGCCAAGCTCATGGGTATCAACTGAACATAACCTAAACCTTGTCCAACTATTTTTATCAGTGACATGGATGTTTTTCCTCTGCAATGGAGCAAGTTGTGCCTATTTTAGATACCTGTAGAGATGACATGGTAGTTAAACCTAGAATAAAAAAATGCAAGGTTGACTAGTATCATTTGTTTTGCAACTAGGACTGATGTAGGAAAGTGCTAGGAAACTCAAAATATTGTACCCACATATGCTTTGTGGTGGGAAAAGGTTGTGAAAAGCTTGTGGATAATGTCATTCTAAATAAGATGTGTGTGGCGTTTGTAGACAAATAAGAGTTGAACTTGGCTCAGTTTTCAAATTATCAGGTTTCTTGATTTGCATGACTTTGTTGTGTTGATAGAGTTTTGTGTATTTAAAAATAAATAAATAAAGATATATCACCTATAAATGGCCATATAGCCTAAATTAATACATAATATGACCGAAGGACTCATATTGGAGCCATATATGATCAATCTGAAAATTACCAAACTACCGATGACCTCTAATTAATTATAGGAAAATCGTTCTAGCAGCATAGATTCCAAAAACTATCGCACAAAAAAAAAAAAAAAAAAAAAAACACTCAAATTGAACCATAACTTTTGTTAGGGAAGGTCCGATGCATGCTGATGTAGGACAACCGCAAGTATTACTTACTCTTCTACAAATAGTGAACCCAACTTTGATGTATAGCAGAAAAGTAGGGTTTTGGGCTATTTTAGTTGATTTTTATTTTATAAATATAGAGGATCTTTGGCCTTATGTGGAGTAGTAAAAGAGTAAACGAAAGGAGAAGAATTTGGGGCCTGGGGTGGTTCTGGTTTATGTGAGCAGTACCCGTGAATGGCCCTTTGCTGGTTTTATAATCTTTTGCAAGTTAGGGTGCCAGGGTTGAGGAACTATGATATTTGAGTGTTGAATAAGGGCTAATGCAGATGTGGTTTTGTGGTTCTAGAGGCCAAAAAAAAGTACTCATAGAATTAGGATGTTAGGTTTAGGCATCACACCCAGATTTCTGAAGGCATCACCTAGGCGGGGAATTGATCAATGCAATGCACAAGAGGGGCTTCAAAAGCTTCAACTCAAAATCAACTTTGTTGAATTAGAAGCATGCTTTATTTGGACATTTGAGAAATCCTACTATTAATAGGATGTGACGTAGTTGGAAACTAAGGCTATGTTTGGATTTTAGATATGCAAAGGGAAAAGAAAGGGAAAGGGAAACGTGAATGAAATAGAAGCTAATTATTTTGACAAACCCATTCCCCCCTTTTTTCCCCTCTACAAATCCAAGATCCAAAGAGAGCATGGAAGTCTAAAACTTTTCGACTTCCAAAATACCTAGATGCTACCCATATATAAAAACCAAATTGCATGTCTCATGGGCTACAACCCGTGTTTAGAAAATTTTGAAATTAGGAAAATCCCCCTAACTTATTTATATATGGTTTTAATTTTAGTTGATTCCAAATGAGTTTAGCTTGAAAGTAACAAATTTTCAAGTTTGAATGCTTTTTTTATTATTTTTATTTTTATTTTTCTTATGGACTGCATGACATATACTCCATAAAATAATTATTTTTTGCTCCCTTTTTTCTCTTATCATGAACTTAATCATGGATGACAATGAAAAAGTATCTATTCTGGTCTTTTGCTTTGGCTTCTCCCAAGTGTGATCCATCTGATGGTGGGTCTAATGCCTTTTCTTGTACAAGAAATTATAGCGTGTCATATTAATAGAACTCCAGCATATAGCTGTGTACACATCTCTTATTTGTTTTCACAAACTTGCTTTTGCCATAATCTCCTCTCCATTTGCATAGCATTATTGTGTGGTGCCACTTTCAGTATAACCAGCACACTTGCCCCTTTTCCATACAACTATATTTAGTATGGGTTGCAGATCCTAGCTAGTTCATATCAATGGTTAAGTATATGTAACTCTTGAATATTCTTTTGACAGTGGAAATTCGTTGAAGGATCCAGCTTCAACAGCCTATGCACAAGTATTTGCTCCACACCATGGATGGGCTATTAGGAAAGCTGTTGCTGCTGGGATGTATGCCCTTCCTACCAAGGCACAGCTATTGAAGAAGCTCAATGAAGATGGTGAGTGGATGGCCAACTGATGCCTTTGTTTCCATAATTAAATATATCAACAAGTTCTTTGGAACATTTTAACTCGGTGATGTGTTTGAACCATGATTATCAAAATCCCAATCCGGATCTTAGGATCAAACCAAACTAAGCCTTGTGTCCCAATCAAGTGGGCAAAATAAATCCAAATCTTGTAGACAATCCCTTATAGTAGGATCATTCGATCCTAGTAGTTGGATCTTATAGGATCGTGGAATCTGACCCAGATCTGACAAGACTCTGAACCAGAACCTGTATTTCATCTGGGTTGCAATGTAATTTCTGAACTGAATTGGTCTGGCCTGATCCTGCCTTTGGGCGGTTTGGGTTGGGCTACTACAACACTGGCTTGGTTTTGGGGTTTGAAAGTGCCTAGGAATTTGGTTTGTGGTTGCATTGTATTCAGGTTACTCGGGTTGTGAGTTTCTCTACCCACACACTGACTGAATTTAATTCGCGTTGACAAATTTTACCTCACGTTTTAACTAAATTTGAAATTATACTGCTCGAACTTTTAAAATTTTACTAACTAGGACTCAAGTTGTTTGGGCTGACTCCGTTTCATTTTCTAAAGATCAAAGAAATGATTGCTTTGCTTTAAATTATGCTTACATTTTGTTTTGTGACTTTCAGAGACCTCGGCTCGGATTCAGATGCAAAACTACATCGCTGCGTCTACTCCAGTCATCCTGTACGTTGACAAACTTTTCCTTTCAAGAGAGTTGGGTCTAGACTGGTGAACTTGGACTTCCACTCTGATTTCTTCACTGGATTTCTTCACTGTGAACAAACATCTTGATGTACTAAGTAAAAAATAGATTACAGCTAACTGTTTCCTTGCATGAATTAGCACAAATCCCTCATGTGAGTGTTGTATATTGTTTTAATAAACATATGTTTTTTTCATTGCTAATGTGATGTGATTGGTTGAAAATGTCTGTGCTTTGGATTTCAGGTACTATTTTGTTTTTTTTTTTGAAGTTGCATTGCTAATTTGTCATGGTAAATAGCATTTATTTAGCTAACATGTATTTTTTTATTGAAAAATGATTGATACATTGAATTTGGACTTGCCCAAATTATGTCAATTAGATGACCGGCGTCACCTTTGTCAACCATGGCTATCATTCTTGTCAACCGGTGTGTCAATCAATATTGGCGTGAATGACCTCCCAGATGACCTCTTGGATGATCAACCGAACGACTGACATACACAAATTCAAATGATTCGAGCAACCTCAAATTCGGTGGATATAACATTGTTACTTTTTATTTTAGTCAGTTACACTTTACAAGATGGGGAATATTTTATATATATATATCTTTAGTTTATGTAATTTCTGAAATGTACTTCCAAAGACCCCCAACCAGTGGATTCTCATAAAATTGACCATGTGAAAATTAATTTGATCAAAGTCCACAATTCAATCACAACTAACAATTTGCATAGATCACATGTAAATGCTTCCAATATTATGTGAAAATTATGCAATGCAAATTAGCATTAAGTTTTGGGGGTGGTGTATAAGTGGCTGTACTACCACTTGAACCTTGTGCTTCAAATGGACTTTCTTTCCTTTCTTAAAGGTTTGATCTAAGAAGAAGAAAAAAAAGTTACAATTATCGGATTGATTTTAAATTTTACATTGTTATGGCCCAAACACCTCCAATTATTTCATTGATATCATTGATTTTGTTTACTCCTTATGAAATTTTAATTTTCTCAATCCATCCTCCCAAATCAAATTATAATTTCATCCTCCCATTCAATTCATAAGTTCAACAAGGTCCATCACTTGTATGAAAGCATTAAAACCTCACATTGTGAAAGGTTAAGTCATGAGATTTGACTTTTTGTTCCTCTTTCTTATCTCTTAATCTTATAATAATAATAAAAATAATTAAAATTAGCCTCATAAGTATTTTTTTTCTTTCTATTTTTTAAAATTTGATGCTGAGTAATCTTCTCAATAAAAGATCACATTGAACTTACAAGTAAATTAATACTTATAGTTACTTACAAATTACGTGTATCAATTAAAATCAAACATAACATACAAAAAAACTGAATAATCTATTTTTACAATTCACTTTAAAACTAGTCTCTTTATCATTTTATAAATATTTGATATATTAAGTGAATGAGGTGTCCTAAAAGGGTAGTTATCAGAGTGGATTTTTCGTAGTTGACGGTGGGGCACTCACGGTGTTTGCAGGGCGTTGCCAGCTGTGGCGATTGGTTGTAGGTTGTAGGTAGTGACGGAAGGAAATGAGTAAACTATACGAATACAAATATGAACAAGTGAAAAATGCTTTCTTTTTTTTTTTTTACAAAATTTTATAATTTTTTCTTTTATAAACTATTATTTATTTATATCTATTCTATATACTTATATTTAAGAGTTCTAATAGACGAGCTTCACTTCCTAATGTGATATTTTGGGCTTTTTTTTTTCGCTTCAGTTCATTTTTAAAATTCTCTATTATTGTTGTATGGGGGATGCACCAATAAATCCCAAATTAATAACTTATGCACTGTTTAGTTTTAAAAGTTTTCTTATAGACTGAAAGGTTCCATTACAATGTTTCAAACATCAGATTAATGTTTTGAACATTAGATTTCAAACATCTAATGTTCATTAAATTTCAATAATGTTTGAAATTATAGGATGAATGTTTCAAACATTAGATTTCACACATCTAATGTTCATCAGATTTCAATAAATTTTAAAATTATAGAATGAAACATCAAATTCATTTACATCATGAACATCATGATGATGTATAAATGGGACTAAATAGAACATAAGAAAACTTTTAGGACTAAATGGTTCAACTTTTCAGAAACTAGGATTTATGGATAAATTTTCCTTGTTGTATATTATATTATATTTATATGTTATTATTAAGTGAAGGTTTTAATTGGTGTAGTAAAATTTTATTTTCTTTGGCCATGTTTGATTGGGTGGATTAGAACATGGGATTGAGATTATTAATCCGTTGGCCCAATTATCCTATGTTTGTTTTAATATTTTGGTTTAAGATTATTAATCCAATTGATAATTAATCAAACAAATTTGTAGGATTATTAGTAATGAGGTAGGGGTGAGATTATTAATCTAATTGGATAGTGAATACCACACTAATTTAATAGGATTCTTAATACTTCACTATTAATCTTGTGAATCAAACATAACCTTTATGTCACCTGATAATATTTTTTATTTTATAATAAAAAATTATACAAAAAAGTGTGTAAAATAGATTTAAAATAAGAAGACTCATATCACTTAATATATATTATAATATTAATCTTTTTATTATTTTTTTATTCTTAATGGTCACCCGCTAATATTATTTTATTTTATCAACAACAAAAATGGATACCAAACAATTTTTTTTGTACTAATCAATTCCAATTCCAATTCCAATTCCAATTCCCATATGTTACCAAATCCTGTGTCCAAACGCCTCTCTCTCTGCCCTTTCCCCTTAAAACCTCTCTTTCTTCCTCCTCAGGTCTAACACTCTCCCTCTCTCTCTCTCTCTCTCTCTCTCTCTCTCTATATATATATACATCATATTGAACACAGACCTATATCGATGGACGACGGAGAAGGAGGTCTGAGCTTCGATTTCGAGGGCGGCCTCGACGTAGGTCCAGCTAACCCCACCGCATCCGTACCGGTAGTCCAATCCGACGCCGTCGCCGGCGGTGGAGCATCAAACAACGCCTCCGCGCCCCCTGCCGCGGCAGAACCGCCGCAGGGAAACCCCGCGGGAAGGCGGAGCTTCCGGCAGACGGTGTGCCGGCACTGGCTCCGGAGCCTTTGTATGAAGGGCGACGCCTGCGGGTTCCTCCACCAGTATGACAAGTCTCGGATGCCGGTGTGCCGGTTCTTTCGTCTTTATGGAGAGTGCCGAGAGCAGGATTGTGTGTACAAGCACACCAATGAGGATATCAAGGAGTGCAATATGTATGTTTTTCTCTTTTGTATTTTTGGTTAATTGATAATTGATTGATGTGTTTGATTTGATATGTCATTTGCTGTGATTGAGAAGAAGAAGAAGAAGAAAAATATAGGTTTTTTTAGGTTGTGAATTTCTTTGATTTTGCTAGTTAATTTTAGGATAGTGCTGATTTGAAATCTGGGTCTTTTGTGAATTGCTTTGATTTTATTTTATTTTTTGTGGTTAATTTTAGGAAATCTGGGTTGTTTGAATGAGAAAATTACAAGTGGGTTTTAAATCCAGTCTAATCTGCCCATGGATTTGATGAATAAAATTGTGTACATTAACCACAAAGGCAAAGCTTCCAGAGGTAGAAGTGGCATAAAGAACCATTGAAGAGCACTGTTTTTGCAAGAAGATCAAAGATCATTTATTGCAGATGATTCCAAGGTCATCAATAGTGTGATGCATTCTAACATTGAAGCATCTCTTCTTGGCAAGAACATTCGTAAAATGCTATATGACACCAATACCATTTTACCTAGAAAATAAAAGAAATATTAATATGAAATGAATTTTTGTTGTTTCCTTGAGTCCTTGGATACAGGAGTTGGATGAATTGGACTACCCAAGTCCATGTAAGATGATGTTTGACCACTGCCCCAACTGACTGAATAAAAGCCATTGTCTTACCATATGGGTCAGGCACTTTGTACCTATTGCATTTCTTCAAAGCTTCCACGACCTCTTCAGCCAAAAAGGGCTTTTCGAGCCAAGTCCAAGCTTCATAGAAAATGGAAGAAAAATGCAATCTATTGAACATAGAACTACTTTCCTGCAGTTACTTGTAAAGACTCATAAAAACTGACAATGCCCCTCTGAAAGGCCTCCTCTTTTTTAATTTCAAAATTCTCAGGCCTCGTTTGGCAACCTTATATCTTAGCCAAAAAGTCACTATAAATTGTCACATCACTCTATCTACTTTTCTACATATCTTTTTATTAAAGGCCAAAAAAAATACCAAAATAATTTGTTCCCAAATGATGCCTTAGTCACTTTACTCCCAATATGTTTAGATTTTTTGTGAGCATTAACTGTCCGCTGAAGAATTTTGTGTTTCGATACCCTTAAGCTAGAGGGACCTGACTTTCTCTCTCCAACTTAGACCTTGTTTGGCATGTTCTAAAAAAGTCAAAAAGTCACAGTCCTATTTAAAGCCAAGTTTGGCAGGTGCCCAAAAAGTTACCTAAAAAGTCAAAAAGTTACTCAAAAAGTTAAAAAGTTATCACTATTCACCAAAAGTCAAAAAGTACGGCTGCACAACTCTCAATCTTAATTTTTCCCTACACACTAATTTATACAATTTTTTAATACACATTTTTCCATAAAAAGTCAAAAAGTTAACCCAAACAACTATATTTTTTTTCTCAACTTTTTAGTCCAAAAAGTACACTTATTTAGGACATTCCAGACAATCCCTAAGTCACATCATCTTATTTAAGTCACATCATCTTATTTAAGTCATATCACCTCTCTAACACATTACTTCAAAGTCAACTCATACTCAACCCATATTTCATAAAAAGTCAAGAAGTACACTTATTTAGATCATCCCAAACCACCCCTTATTTCTTCTACAAGAATAATACAACCCAACTCTTCTTAAGCATTTTTAAGAAGTCCCTCATTTTCATTTATGCGTATTCAACTTCTTTACCATCAATCTGCTTGATTATGCGCAACACTAGCCTTTTGGAAAGCTAAGTTCCCAAACGCTCTCTCATTTTGGGATGAGCTCCCTTTCATACTTTCATCTCTTCATACCCCTCCAGATCCCTCTTGTGGGCCACAATTCGGACCTGCATCAATAATCCAAACCGTCTGTCTAGTAGGTCCCGCAATAAAGATCATTTTTTAGCTTCATTAGACATCTATAAATATAAGAACAAATCACATTTTGTTTTATAAAATGAATGACAAATATGATTGTAACTTAAGCCATCTATTTTATATAACAAAATACAATTTATTCACATGTTTATAGTTGTCTGATAAAATAAAACTAATTTTTTGCATAGAGAACTTTTACTGCGAGGCCTACAAGGAAGACGGTTCGGATCATCGATGCGGGTCTAGATTGGAGCTTACAAGAGGGGTGTGGAGGGGAGCTCGTCCCTTTTGTTCTAGCTAGGCCTTCAAATTAGCTTCGTTATTCATAACAAGAACAAATCTAGGATATGTAAGATCTTACCAATTCTTTACTTTATCAATTGATCCATTCACTCTACTGGAAGGATTCCTCTTTGGCTAATAGGTACTGAAACTGGTATTCCTGTGATCGGTTCAATAGGTCTTTTCTTTTATGGTTCATATTCTGGATTGGTTTAAAGATATCCCCCCACAATCCAACAAAAGAGGTGCATAATCTAGAACTAGTCGAGGAAGAGCCAATGGACAAAGTGAAAAGAAATGTGCCTCCCATTCTGAAGGCACCAAGAATCTGTTGATCCTTGAGAAGGGAGGACTTTCTCTGCTATTCCTCTTAAGTAAGTCTCAATTCTGTCAACAGCAAGTTAATCAGCTCAATAGTATTCTATAAAGTCAATTGAAGAAATACGAGTGCATCCATGTGGCTAAATTGGGAATTTATGCACTGAGGCTTCCCCCACCTACCTTGAACCTCCCTGAAATCCACCCAATGACCCTTTCCTAGGATCATCCAAACAAGGGTCATACATCTGGAAAGCATCCAACAAAACTCATCAACCATAGAAGAAAATGGGCAAGAGACATAATCCTCCCATCAACCTATCATTACATTTCAACACCCTTTTATCTCAAACCACTGCAATTCTATTAGCAATCCTCCCAACCTGCAAATATATTATACCACAAACTTCTTACCACCTTTTACATCATTTGTTCCATTTTTAATTAATGAAAGCATACCAGAGAGGTGTGCAAAAAAAAAAAAAAAAAATTCATCAATTTGTGTTGTTGAACCACATTGATTAACGCAGTTTGAGAAGGTTTAGTGGGTTGGGTTGGGTTAGACGGTTAGATGATAAAATTGACGGGTTGGTTCGTATGTCGTTTAAAAATTATTAATTCACCTACAATCTAGCCCACACAACCCCTACCTAACCCTACCTAACCCTAATACCCTTTATTAGATGATGTTCATTCTTCATTTTAATTGCATACTTGTTCTCTAATTGATTGTTTTGTAGATTGATTTGTGAAAAAAATTTGATTACCAGAATGCATTTGATTAACCTTTGGATTTTGTGTTGAGATTTGGAAATAACAGTTTTTTTTGTTGTAGTAATTGTGAAAAACTTTGGGAAAATATTGTTTTCGTGGAATGTAAATATATATATATATATATTGATATTAATGAAAAACTCTACATCATTAGAAGATAATTTTATAATTTTTTCATGAAATTCTTATTTTTTTGGGATAAATTACACTTTGCCTTTTTTATGTTTGGTCATTTTCTCACTTTGGCCCTTAAAGTTCCCTCCCTCCCCACCACTTTGGCTCCTACATGATACAAGTTTTTTCCAATTTACTCCAAAAGCTAACTTATGTTTAAAATTAAACAAAAACTGACACATTAACAGTCACGTGACATAAAAATATTTTATTATATATAACTCATACCACCACCACCACAGCCACTATCCTCATCCTACCACCAACAACTACAACCACCCCCACCATTGCCACCCCATCACGACCACCAGCACCACTTCCACAATCACCTACACTGATTACGAGTGTTTAATTTGGTTGTTACTAGTTCTATAAAAAAGATTCATTCCATCACGACCACCAGCACCACTTCCACAATCACCTACACTGATTACGAGTGTTTAATTTGGTTGTTACTAGTTCTATAAAAAAGATTCATTCCATTCTATCAGTTTAATAGACATAACTAAACATGACAATGAGAATCCTTATTCTATTCCTACATCATGCCATGTTAGTAACCAAATAATGGAATGAGAATGGGCGTTCCATTCAACCTTATATTCCATTCCCACTCGTATTCAATGCCACTTCATTCCGTTCTATGTGAATCTATTTTTGCTGGAAATTAATAATAAACTAACGGTGGGTGCAAACACAACATTTGCATTTTATATTTAAACCTTTAGATAGTTTGATGATTGAGGGAAACTAATTACTAGTTTTGGATGGTTTGATAAAGGAGAAAAGGCATTTTAACGGTTTTTGGGTGGAAAGGGTGACAGTTACTACGTGGGAAGGGCATTTTTGGAAAAGTAAAAAAGTGACGTCATTTACACCAACATAAGGAATGGGCTCTATAACCCTTCACCCTACATGTTACTCAAGTAATATTCAATGGTAATAGGTTTTTGCTGGATATTATTAATAAATAAGGAATGGGCACTTTAGCCCTTCACCCTATGTGGTGTTCTAGGGCTTTGTTAACTGTAACTTCTTTACTCGCTGCATTCTTTCTCTTATTGCTTGGTTTGTCTCTCTATCTCTCTCTCAACTACTGGTTGGTTTAAGTTGATTTGCTAATTTGTTTATTAAGTTGTTAGTTTTGAGTGATCATCTTGAATTCAACTTGAGTCTTATTCACCTAGCATCATGATTTATATGTTATTCACTTATCAATCCCTTTGGGGCCATGCCCGCCGGTGTAGCCCAAGATTTGCCTGACTCGTGTAAAGGGTGCGCTTTGCGTGGGTCTCAGGATTAGTTGTATTTACCTGGATCCCTGATTATAAAAAAAAAAAGGAGAGAAAATGTTATGCATATGTTGCAATCCAGAGGATTTTATACTGCTTTCTTATTAGTTTGAGAAATTTTTTACTTCATTCGAGTAAGAGCATGTACATGATTCTGATGCTATAGTTTTGTTGTCGCAGGTACAAGTTGGGATTTTGTCCAAATGGTCCTGATTGCCGCTATAGGCATGCGAAACTGCCTGGACCTCCCCCTCCTGTGGAAGAAGTCCTTCAGAAGATTCAGCAGATGACTTCTTACAATTATGGCAACTCTAACCGGTTCTTTCAAAACCGGAATTCTAATTATCCTCAACAAACAGAAAAACCGCAGTTTCCACAAGGTCCAAATGCTGCCAATCAAGCCACAGCTGCAAAATCTTCAACAACAGAATCCCCCAATATGCAGCTGCAGCAACAAGTTCAACAGTCCCAACAACAGGTCGGCCAGACTCAAATACAAAATTTTCCAAATGGCCAGCAAAATCAAGGGAATAAATCTTCTACACCCCTGCCTCAAGGAATATCTAGGTGTGTTCAGAGTTCTAAGGTTTTTAATCAGGTCATGTAATTACTTCTTGTACTCAAAACGTGGACATTTTTTCAAAGAGGGCTATCCTCATGCGTCAGCTGTAATTGATTTTTTTTAAGCCCACAGTAGTAGACATAGTTGTTTCGACTTATTTAATTTGTACTATTGACTTACTTATTGATGTATGAATTTGTTTTGGTCCATTTTTTTCTATTCCATTCTTGTTTTTTGCTTGGACAAGCAAGAAAGAAATTGCATAATCACAGTATTGCCTTGTTTAATCATGGTAGACATAGCACTTTTGTTTTTATTTATTTTTTGAGAAGAAAAACAAATTTAGCGATGGTAAAGTGAATTGCATTGAAGCTAGTCAGATGGACTGCAAGGTTTTCGGAGAAAGAACATGCTTCTACATAATGTTACTTTAAGGATCTCTTTTTCTTTTTTGCTTCTTAAATCTACGAAAAGCAAGTCTCCACTATAATTTAGACATTTTTTCAATTCAGCCATATTTTTCTGGTTTTTGTATCCCAAAGAGCCAATAATTAGTGCGCAGGTTAGGCTGATGGCTTGAAGTTTGCATTTAAAGAGTTTTAAGTAAAGTTGGGCAGGGTGCAGCCTTGGTGGCTTACCTTCTCGCAGTTCATGCCCAAAATTTTGATGTAAACACTAAGCAGGAGTGAACATGTTTTGTTTAGTGTAATTCTCGTCTCTGATGTGTATTGTGCATTGAGTTTCCTGCCTTCTACATGGAAGCTGTCTTGTAAAGCTCTGATTTGCAAAACTGGTACCTTTTCAATCCCCTTGTTGCATTTAACATGCTTAGGGTTTATACTTTTAAAGTTCTACTTACTGCCATTTTTTTTTTAATACTTTGCAAGAGATTTTCCTGAGCTTTTAATATTTTTGTAGTACTTTTTGTTTTATATCCAATAGTCCATTAGTCCAGCTCGTGAGCAATTAAATGAGTTTTAAAATTTGTTTTTAAGTTATGTTGGCTGACTAGTTTTTATTTTTCATTTCTTTTATGTTTGTGGATAAAGCAGATGATGAGTCTGACAACCATGCCTCATTTGCTTTGGTTTTTTACGTGTTTTTATTCCCTGACATCACCTTTGCAGTTGTCAGATATTGAATAAGTTGAGAACTGACATATTGATGTGTGTTGAAAATAGTTAGATTTACACATAAGAAGAATAAGAAGGAAGTAAAAGATTTCAACAGAAGTAGAGAAAACAATGAGTAAAAAGAAAAGAGAGTAACTTAGGGTTCTCTCCCTCATTCTATCATATTTATATTAATAGTGCTTAAAGGACAAAAATCCCCATAAAGGAAATAACACATAACATAACGCACCCCCTCAAGTTCTCTCATGCCCAACTTACACACAACAGGATGAGAAAACTTAACTACTAAGTCTTTAGTAATGTTAAAACCTACCATCACCTACTCCACCTACTACACCTCCTATATAAGGAGCCCCTCACCATTTGTAATGATAACATACATCAATCAATAATACATCATTTTTTAACATGGTATCAGAGCAGGTTTAGAATCTAGTATTTTCGCTTCCCTAGCGGGCGGCAACCTCACCTTAGCCGCCCGTCGGACCTCAACCTATTCCGCTGTCATCTCTATCAATACATAAATATACATACCTACATAGATACAAACTTGTAATCGAATCAATCGATCGATCTCTCTCAAGAAAAATGGATGCGTTCTCGTCATTCTTCGAATCTCAGTCGTCGTCTCGCAACAGCTGGAGTTACGATTCTCTCAAGAACCTACGTCACCATATGTTTGTGCTGCAACTTTCAAAGCAGCCTCTCTTTGCTCTTGAGGCTGTGATCATTCAAGAAGCAGTGCCACTGCGTGCTAGCAAAGGTCCATCCTCTGATGGTCTTCAACAGAAGTACACACAAAGTGGTGGCAGACCGTTTGTTCTTTCAACTTTGATTGTGGGCTTTGACCCTCACACTGGTGTGCCATCGCTCTATCAGACAGATCCATCAGGTACTTTTTCTGCATGGAAAGCTAATGCAACTGGGAGAAACTCTAATTCAATGCGAGAATTTTTGGAGAAAAATTATAAAGAAACTTCTGGGCAAGAAACTGTCAAACTTGCAATTCGCGCCTTGCTCGGAGTTGTTGAGAGTGGGGGAAAGAACATTGAAGTTGCTGTGATGACGAAGGAGCATGGCTTGCGGCAACTTGAAGAAGAGGAAATCGACGCCATCGTTGCTGAGATCGAAGCTGCGAAAGATGCTGCCGAGGCTACAAATAATGCAAAGAAGAAGGATTCAGCCGTGGAAGGTAGTAGCAGTGGTGGTGTCACAGCAAACCAGAGTGAGAGAAAGCCATCCAATTTGTCAAGGAGGGATGGCAATCAAAGGCCATCTAAGATGGATTTTGAAGTTCCTCCGACAGAGCATGTTCCAAGGGTACTGCCAAAAGATGAGGACCCAAGCTTGGTTAATAGAAATAAAAGCATGCTCGGACAGCTTTTGGGGACATTGGAGAGAGAAATATATTATATAACCTTTTCTATTCTAAAATATTCTCCACTCAAAACCATCATCACATTTTCCACCGCCCAAACCCTCTTTATCTTATATATATAAATATATATATATATATATTTTTTTTTTCTTTCCACCGCCCCACTTTTTATCTTAAAAAAAAAAAAAAAAAAACCATTGCCGATTTTCACAAACCCGTGGGACAAGAAATCACGTGAACCTCTTTTCTTATTTTCCCCATCTTTCTTTTTTGATTTCAAATATATTTTTATTATTTCTTTCTTTATTTTTCTTTCACTTCTACATGGAAGCTGTCTTGTAAAGCTCTGATTTGCAAAACTGGTACCTTTTCAATCCCCTTGTTGCATTTAACATGCTTAGGGTTTATACTTTTAAAGTTCTACTTACTGCCATTTTTTTTTTAATACTTTGCAAGAGATTTTCCTGAGCTTTTAATATTTTTGTAGTACTTTTTGTTTTATATCCAATAGTCCATTAGTCCAGCTCGTGAGCAATTAAATGAGTTTTAAAATTTGTTTTTAAGTTATGTTGGCTGACTAGTTTTTATTTTTCATTTCTTTTATGTTTGTGGATAAAGCAGATGATGAGTCTGACAACCATGCCTCATTTGCTTTGGTTTTTTACGTGTTTTTATTCCCTGACATCACCTTTGCAGTTGTCAGATATTGAATAAGTTGAGAACTGACATATTGATGTGTGTTGAAAATAGTTAGATTTACACATAAGAAGAATAAGAAGGAAGTAAAAGATTTCAACAGAAGTAGAGAAAACAATGAGTAAAAAGAAAAGAGAGTAACTTAGGGTTCTCTCCCTCATTCTATCATATTTATATTAATAGTGCTTAAAGGACAATATATAATTCTTTTCTTTACAAAATGAAATACAAAAAATAAAATAAAAAAATAACAGATTTAAAATATATTTTCCAATAAATCAATTGCAATATACTTTTCTAGATACTATTCATTTGATGAGAATAAAAAAAAAAATTTGAAAATTCAAGTGGCTAAAACTGAAGCAACTATTTTCTAACTAACAAAAAATTAATAATAACAAAAACAAAAAATGTATGGTGCTAGACGCTTTTGATGGCACGCCTTTTGATGGCACGCCTTTTGAAAAATTGAGCGCACCTTTTGAGGATGCGATTTTTTTATGGGTCCGACAAGACTCTGTAAACTGTCTCGACATTGATTCCGGTTAGCTCCTTTATGGGTCTGACAAGACTCTGTAAACTGTCCCGACATTGATTCCGGTTAGTTTCTACAAGGGTCCAGCAAGACTCCGTAAACTGTCACAACAACTGTCACAACAGTGTCTGCTACAACGGTCCGACATGACCCCATAAACTGTCTTCTACATCAGTCCAACACGAGCCAGTGTCTTCTATATCGGTCTGCCATAACCATATAGTCTTCTACAACGGTCTGACACGGCCATACAGTGTCTCTTATCCATTTTTTATTTTTCAGATTATTTTCTTGTTTTGTTACTCTCTCCAAACTCAAGTTGGTTAGTTCCTATCCCCCTTGAGTTTGCGGGGGGCTGTTAAAACCTACCATCACCTACTCCACCTACTACACCTACCACCACCTACTACCACCTACTACACACCTACCACTACCACCTACTACCACCTACTCCACTACATCTCCTATATAAGGAGCCCCTCACCATTTGTAATGATAACATACATCAATCAATAATACATCATTTTTTAACAAGTAAACACATCAACTAGCTAGTCTTCAAATCTCACAAAGGGCATACAAATTAAATCCTTGCTCAACTTCTCCTTAATGAAGTGTCTGTCAATTTCGAAACATATGTTTTGTTCTATCACATTGTTTGTTATCACGATATATCTTCGCAGGACTAACACCATGTAACCCCAAATCCTTCATATAAGTTCACAAATGCCATGAGTCTAGCTTTTATACTCAATTTCTATACTAGATCTAGCAACTACAACCTGCTTTTTACTATTCTAAGTAACCAGATTCCCTCCTAGGAAGGTAAAATAGCTTGAGGTGGACTGTTTATCATCAATTGAACCTGGAGGTTTTGGAACTAGGGCTGGAGATGATGATTGACAAGGTGGATCACAAGTTGTGTGATCTTTTTGACGTTTGGAATGTCTTTGTATTTTCCTTATCCAACAAATGAAGAACCAAGTTTTGGCATCAACATCTCTTCCTAACTATGTATCTTCCTCCGAAGAGATGTTCTGGACAAAGCAAAAAAAATAAATTACTCAGACTCCCTAAATGTAACATCTATGCTAACAAATACCTTGTGGGTCAGGGTTCATAACACTTGTTCTCTAAGAAGCACGGGCGCGTAAATTTTCAAAAAGTATAAGACACGACACATGGGATACACATGCAAAATATATAATTTTATATATTTATTATATGTCATATATAAGGATAAATAATTATTATATCATATAAATATTTAAATAAATAATAATAATTTTTAAAGCCTAAAGGAGGAGAATAGGTATAAATTCACAATTTTCATTTTATTATTGAATTCTAAGTTATTTTATTCAAACTTGTAATTTGTTTCATGTGTGTCTTTAAGTGTTGGGAAGTATCCAGCGAGTGTCGTGTCGTGTTGGAGTTTGACATGATGTTGGGCACGACACGTTACCTTTAGCTTTATCCCTGTTTCATGTTGCAGAGTAACCAATAAACACACACTTCACAACCTTTGCTTAGGGGATTTATACGAAAGTAGAATAAGAAGGAAGTAAAAGATGTCAGGAGAAGTAGAGGGAATTATCCAAGATAAAAGAGGAGAGTAACTTAGGGTTCTCTCCCTCATTCCATCATATTTATGTTAATATTACTCAAAGCACTAAAATACCTATAGGGAAATAACACATAACATAACAAGAATTATAATTATAGCATATATATTGCACAATATAATGTATAGTGATACATATGCATATGTTTTATTTTAATTTTGCTTTTTCTTATAGAGGAAATATGGGATATTGAACAATATATCACAATAAATCACCCATGGTTGCAGTCCCTTTTCGGGGCTTTTTTTAAAATATTGAACAGAGATTTTGGCAAGTGTTTCTGTGACTGATTAATGCGTGCTAGACTGAATGGCTAATTCTATAAGATTGTTGACATATGCATGCTATATAATGAGAAATCATGAGGAATAGCATGTTTATACAATGAGCATTATTGGGATGATGTTTTGACTTATAATTGGTTAATTGGTAATCTAGGAAGAACCATAGCTGCACCAAGTGGTAGTGGGGGAAGTGAGGGCCCTATAGAAGAGTTTTAAGGTTGGGAGTGGGAGCGGGGGCAGGGGCACTCAGACAATCCGGAGCAAGGAGTGAGGCCACCATAGGAGTTTCTTGTTAATTCAATTTTCTGGTTGGGAAGATCCTTCAATAATGGGAAGGTTTCTGCATGATTAATCATTTTTAATTAGTTGGTGTATTTTTAATCCACTTGATTGATCCTATGAGATCTGTGTGCAGATTGTGAAATGCAGATGACCCTTCAATCCTTTGAAGATTGCCTTAGTCAAAAATTTTTTTGTTATTCTCTGTTATTGCGTCCATGGGTGCCTGTCATTTTTGATATTTGGGACATAGAAGTGGAGAGGTGAGGTTTGCTAATTCGAAACCATGCATGCTTAAAGATTTTCTGTTGCTTCTATAGTTGTCCAGCGAATAGGGATAAGTTGTATTTCTGTCATTATTATTTTTTAATTTGTGTGTTCTTTTTTTTTTTTTTTTTTCTTTTCTTAATGCTCTTTTTGCTCACTTATCAGGAAGTTGTTTTTGCATTCTTATTCTATAATAGAGATCATTTTAAAATAACATATACTTTTTGGACAGTAACTATCCAAAACAATAAACCATGTTTCATAGGTAGACTTTTTTTCTTGAAGGTTCACATGTGTTTCTTGCCTTACTTTGAAGATTCAAAAGCTTGGCATGTTGGGGAGAAATTTAATGGAATAGGTTCACATTTGGTAAAGTGTAGTCCTCATTGGATGCAGCAGAAGTAATAGTTCTTTGGTTTTGCAGTGTCTCAATTTTGTGGAGTTTTCCCTTGTGTATCCTGTGGATCTTTTCTTTCTGAACTTCCCTTTTATTACCTTAGCTAATGATTTCTCTTTGTCCTGTCCTATATCTTTCCCCTCTTTTTTTTTTGGTTTTCTTTTTTCTTTTTAAGTACTATATTTATACATATATTTTTTTATCTATTTGTAAGAAATAATGTATAGAGAAAGAGAGAGAATAAATTGTATGTATTATTATTGATTGATATATTGATATTTATTACAATGATTCATGATTCCTATATATAGAAGAGGGTGAGTGTATAGTAGGTAAGATCTGTTGAATGTTCAATAAATTTCCTACTATTATTAAGAAGAGGCCTGTCCATCTCCAGTATATCTTGTAAGCAACAATCAAACACCTTTGACCTGATGACTACCAACCATTCCTTAAGATGATTATACATGTGCTACTATTTGTGACCTTTGAGGAAGAGAACTTTATGTATTGAGTTGCTTAGGCTTAGAGTCTAGGTACCCTTCATTAGTTGGGGCATGTCTAAGCAGTAGCCATATTTATTTATTGGGCTTAGCTAGATTTTTCCATATTCCAAGCCTTGCTTATATAGTTAAATTACCCTTCACCTAGATACGAGTGCATTGAGTTTTTCAGTGCATTCAAAAAGAAGCGACAAATTTACTCAATAAAGCTGAAAAAATAGCTTTTAAAGCGTGTTTAGCAAGAATTTAAAGGACCAAAAAGACAACAATATATTGGCTTCTCATTTGGTAGATGATTTATTAGTTTTGGGACTACATTCTGATGAATAAATTAGGTTGGGAAACAATACTCATTTGCATCCACTGACGTTTCTGCAATTTTTGTTAGTTTCCTGTCTAAGAAAGTTTCAAGCAGACTTGATATCTTTCTCAGCGTTGTAGCTAAGTTTAAGTTGATTCAAATTCGAAATTTTTGTGTCCTGAATTGTCATTATCTTAATGCTAATCTGCAATCTGCCATTAACGTACCTGCATTGGTGTCCTATAATCAATCTGAGGCCACGATACATGAGGGTTGTGTTGATTCAGATATTAATGTCAGGGTAAGAAGTTAAAAGCCATTGTTCCTGGTGGGTATTTATTTGAAATTTTAGAAGTATTTTGACTGTAAACAATCTAGCCTTGTCTATCTGTCTGTCCTACGTATGGAATTTTCAGGCTGCATTACTTATAATATATCTCCTATACATATCATCTCCTGTTCTTTTATATTGCTTTCTCTAAGAATTTCTTTCTAATCTACTTCCATTTCGTACATGAACTATAGGTATTTTATTGTCAAAAGTTGCAATCGTGAAAATTTGGAATTATCGGTAGAACAAGGAGTATGGGCAACTCAACGGAGTAATGAGGCTAAACTGAATGAGGCTTTTGACTCCGTGGAAAACGTTATCTTGATCTTTTCAGTCAACCGGACTCGACATTTCCAGGTAGGATTTGGGTTTAGTATCCTGTAGTTGTGCAAATTGCAGTCTGGACTATTGTGGTTCTCTGTAAACAGGTTCTATACAGTACACAGCTTGCTAGGTTTTAAAGGAATTCTATTGCATAAGGCAAAGTATTACCTTTTTCTTTATGAGAGATATTGAGTATGAATCTGTCTATGATTTGCTAGGGTTGTGCAAAAATGACATCTAAAATTGGTGGCTCTGTTGGTGGAGGGAACTGGAAGTATGCACATGGAAGTGCTCATTATGGGCGGAATTTCTCTGTCAAATGGTTAAAGGTACGTTATTTTAATTATCATGTTTATTAGATTTTAGAATTTATTTAGTAGTCAACACCACATGGTGTTTCTTGTCCTGAATCTGTTACCATATTAAGTTTGTCATTCACTCAAGTGTTACCATCATATGTTCTTATCGTGTTATGGATTACTGTCAGAGATAGGTGAGAAAAATGAATCAGGTTTAATTTATGGATTACTAGTTAATGGAATTTGGTAACTTTACGTCTTTTTCGTTGTTGGGTGGCTTTATCTCACGGAATATTATTATGTGTTTTTTCTAGTAAATTCTCAAATTGGGTTTCTATGATAAGCATACATACAAACTGATTGCTCACAATCAGAAAACTAGGATTTTTTTCTAAGCAAATAATTTCTCTAAAGTTGCCAAAAAAGGGGCACAAGATAGTAGGAGAAAAAAAAAGAAACTTTACAACATCAACAAACGATAACTCCACTATAAATGAAAACAGTGTAACAGTGCCATTATAAGAGTATATATCTTTTCTCTACATCATCAAATGTGCTGATTTCTTTCCCTCCAAATGCACCACATCATACACAAAGGTGCTGCTTTCCATGCTTTTTTTACCTTTGTTGAGCAACCTCCTCTTGCCCAGCTCTCATAAAACTTGGATTCAAGAATTGTTTATTCCATTTTATTTGTGATTTGGATTTTTCGGTCCTTTCTTAGTCAAACACTTGCATCTTTTGAAAAATCTATTTTGTGTGGTAGTTATGTGGAATTGGTTTAGTTCACTATTCCTTTCAGCATATATTTGGAGTTTCTTTAGATTACCAAATGATCTTTGCTGTATCTGTTCTTTCAAATGTAAGTTACTTATCAAAAAACTAAAAATAAAGATATTTAAGAACCTTGTCATATATATTTCTTGCGAAGGTGGAAAGAGAAACATAAATATTTTCCCATGTTTTGTGGTCTTTGTTTTTGGTATCCGTTAGACTTTCCTTGAGTTTTCAATGAGGGGTGCTAATGCCTTCTCTATAGTAAGAGGCTTGACTGTGTGTTCTCTCCTTGTCACGTTGGAGGCAAAAACTAGCCGAGTTCGTCATTTAGTGGTGGGTTGTTCATAGAAAATAAGGCATCACCCAACAAGCCTTAGATTTGGATAGAGTCTCGCTCATAGACGCAGAGTACGCGTTAGTGCACTACAGCTTACGTGGTTGATTCGAGTATAGCTTATGTGGTTGATTCAATTAGATAGTCCTCTGGGCAACCAACCAAACTCAGCCCATCAAATTCCATTCCGATCAACAACTTGGAGGTATGGCTGAGTGGCTTACGGCATTGGTTTGCTAAATCGACATACCAAAAGATTGTACCAAGGGTGTAAATCCTATTTCCTTCGACACAGAAGTGGAAAGGGTAGGCGAAATTATGTGAGATAGAACCTCTTTGTGGAATCAGTTCCCTGGAGAACAGAATAGCACTACTTAGTGACTAGGAGCGGAGAGCCTGTTGCACGTAGTTTTTGTTTGACCGGCCTGCCTATCATCATTTTATAAGCAAGCTCCCTGTGGTAGTCCCTAGTCAGCTCTCGGTTCTTGAGCATGTTAGGGGATTAGGCCGCAGTTGAAAGAGGTGCTCGAAAGCTTGACGAACAGACAAAAAATCCTTAACTTTTTTTTTTTTTTATAGTAAAAGGCTTGCTTTTCCATTACTAATCAAGTTGTTAGGTAGGGTGCTATTTTTTTTTTATTGGCACTAAGGATGTCTAGATCAAAGTCCGACTAATCCCTAGGGGGTGCATAGGCCCTCAGCAAGGAGTTTCCCGCAAGTGTACCACGGTTAATTCAAAGGTTTTCCCCTATCCGATGGCCCCAAGGAATTGTTAGCACCTAAAAGGTTTCGGTCCTGAATCTTGGAGGGAGCACACCCCCAAAACCCAAGGCCTTGCTGCCAAGCCAACCCCTTGGGGTTGTAAGGTAGGGCGCTATTCAAAACAGGTAGCTCAGCTAGTTAGAGCGAAGGACTGAAAATCCTTTGCTTGTATTTATTTGATCACTGATGCTATCCAACATAGTTTGGTGAATTTTTTCGTTTTTTTTTTTCATCTATTTATTTTTTGTTAGCCTAGGGGACTTATTTCCTTTTTTCTTCTTTACCCTTCCCCCTTCTTAATCAAATTGAATGATTTTCTAGAAAACATAATGAACCATTCATTTTTTAAATGCATCTGTAAGTTATTGGTGTTGTAAATCATATGATCATTCTGATGGTATAACTAAATTACTAAATTGCAATTTCTTACATGCAGCTCTGTGAATTGTCGTTCCACAAAACTCGTCTTTTGAGGAATCCATATAATGAGAACCTACCGGTGAAGGTACTAATTTCGGCCTTAAGTCTATTTTGATTACTTGACATTGTTAATTTCCTGTTGTGTTATTGTTCTCCTTCCCATTTAAATTTGCCAATAAATAAAAATTGAGCTTGCATGGAGAATTTATAATTTTGCAAGATTCAAGTTCTAGCACTGAAATGAGTTTTTTTTTTTCTGATTCATATTGACAATTCAACACACATCTATCTCGTATTCAAATGCCACATGTTCTTTGGTCTTTCTGGTTCTTGTAATTCTGCAGTCTGTAGCCAAAATCATTTGATGGCCTCCAATCAGCTTTTAACTATAATCGGTTTTCTTCATATAATTGCAGATTAGCAGAGATTGCCAGGAGCTAGAGCCTTCTGTTGGTGAGCAGTTGGCTTCCTTGCTCTACCTTGAGCCAGATAGTGAACTCATGGTATATTTTTTTCCTGCCCTCAGAGTATTTACTTTTGCTCAAAGAGGAGCCGATGCTATTTACTGGAAAATATATATTTTGATTTGAGTTGTCCAAAGAAACTGAAAATATATGCATCTATTCTGCAATCCCCATCATGTTCAAACAGGATGCATGGACCACCTTTGCTTGAGAATTGATAATATATGGGATTTTCTTTGTAGCTCAAAATATTCCAGTCTATCTCTGTGTTGAAGCTCAAGATGGCTCAATTTCAACATGATTTTGATTAATTATAGTACGACATTTCAAACTGATTCGCTCATATCTCCTCTTTTACATTTCTTGCTTTCCTTGTTTTCCCTTTAGACCCGCCCACCCTTTCCCCAAGAGTCATCTACTTGAGCTTCTTGTTATTGGACTTTGTACCTGTCTTCTTGAATTTGTCAATCATTTTAAGGATCTGAGCTACCTGGTGGTTTTTTGAATTCATTTGCAGAGATGATGGTTTTGGGAGTAATGTGTGCAGCTGTAGTAATTTTATACTATTCAGTTGTCAGAAACTAGAAACTGACATGTATTGATTCGGTGTGTCTAGTAAATTAATTAGCCGGCTATCCTTGGACCTGATTACAATATGTTGTGGCCAAATAAAATTGCAGATTCGTGGTGGCAGCAATGGTTGATGTTTATAGCTTTATTTTCACCTTAGAAAATATTAGTTTTAGTATCTCACGTAAGTTTCATAAGAAGAATTTAAAGCAGGCTTGAGATTCTCATAATCAGCATTGTTTATAGCATATAGCTAGGTAATATTCTTGCAAAGATGTTTGCAAACTTTTTTTCTTGGAGCTTTGTTAGTGAAGATTCTTTGGTTCAATTTAAAAGGTGACTTTTGTGACTAGTCCTTTAAAACCCTGCTGCTTGCTGATTTCTTGTAGAATGCTGGATGCTGATTTCTAGATTTACCTAACATATTCTAATTCTATCCCGATAACTCTCTTACGTGATTTTCATTACTTAGATATCTTGCTATTGAAATATTCTGTTCTAGGCTTCAAATATTTGTTTAGTTTATTACCAAATGTATCTTAGAATCACATCTATTGAACAATTTAGCTGATGCCTTTCACACATACCAATGGCTTTTCTTTTCCAATATACTGTGGCCCCAAGTGGGATCATCTAAAAGTGAGTGCAAGAAGGAGAGTAGCTGCACAGAGCAGTTAAGAATAACTGATGGAAGAGATTAGTGGCATTTGATTAACACAAAAATTGCCTTCAAGCAAGACAGTACTGCATTCCGTTCATGAAAAATAATAAGGGACCATGTGCCTCACCTACAGTGGAAAAGAGTGTGTCCTTGCTTCTGACCATATAAAAGTAACCTCTATCTGGAGGAATGACCATCAGTTTTCAGTTTATGATCACATATTTTTCTTTTTGACTTGAATTGCTATGGAAGAGTCTAATGCTATGTTTGTTTCAAGGGCTAGCAAGTAGGAAGAAGGGAAAGGAGAGATGGAAGAAGCATCCCTAGGGAATGCATTGTGTGGTTCCTCATTATATTTTGGTTGAGTGAAAAGAATGGGTTTAATTTTGTTCTATAATTCTGCCCTTATTTTAAGGGGAAAAAACCAAAAGCTTAAGAGGGCAAACTCACATTTTAAGAATTGAGAAGTTCTTTCTCTCCTGTCTTCACTTAATTCTGGGTAGATTGAATTTACCGGGTGGATTTCTTTCCTCTCTTTTCCCTCCCATTCTCTCATCTATTCTACCAAACAAGGGAAAGTGCCTCCCTTGCCCTCTTCCTTCTATCCATCTTTTGCTTATGCCTAACACGCTCTACCTAGTGCAGTAGATGTGGCAAGGAGTGGTGCCTGCAACAATGAAAGCTGAAATATAATCTGCAATTGAATTATGGGATCTATGAGGTCTGCTAGGAGAAGCTTGTACTATTATAAGGTGTCGATGTTTGTGCTACATGAGTGTACCTGCTTGGGTTGAGATTTTTAAAGTGGTTATGATTAGATGAAAAAGATTGGTTTTGAGTTGGGTTTTCATAACCTATTCATTAATGGGCTTGGTTCAGTTGATGCTTTATAATATTGTCTTGTAATCTATCAATCAAGACATCAATCAATAATACATAAATTGTTACACCTATTCATTAATGGGCTTGGTTCAGTTGATGCTTTATAATATTGTACTGGGGTAAACTCTATCCACCAAGCAAGTGTATTGAAAGAAGTCTAGAACTTAAAATCGTTGGCATATTAAAAGTCTGGAAGTGGAATTAAAACCACCAAATGTAGGCACACTGGTACTGCCATATCCTTATTTCTTATATTTGTGATTGTGAGGCTTTCCTTTCAAACGTTTAGGCTTTGTGAAGTGGTATTGTTCTGTGGGAATCTACTGTGGTTAATGGGATTTCAACCAATTACTCAAGTGTGCGTTGTATGACTTTGAGCTTCAGGTCCTGATTGACTGATAGGTCCATAACTCATAATGGAAACTTGAATATATTGTCTGCTAATTATATCCTAGCTATTTTTTTATTCATTCTAAAGCAATGTGAGGCTCGCTTTCGTTTATGCAGTGTTCCATGTGATAATTTAAATTATGGGCATTTGTTAAGAACATTGTTTTGCTAGCATTGAAATTTTTGATGTGATTGCTTGGATGTAGAGGACTATTTCTACCTTGAGGTTGTTCCTGTTTATGTATCTTCTTCTTTTTTAAAGTTTTACTCTTTAGTAGATTCAAAGTTCTTATGAGTGTGCTTGATGCCTTTGTGATATGATTATGAGGAAAAAATGCTCGGCTTGCTTCTTTGATTCAGATTTTTACAAGTTGAAGTTATACATGATCCTGTTTCTGATGAGGCAGTTTTTGGGTCTTTCAAAATTTGTTATCGTAGAGGCTCGCTTTCATAATATTGTTATTCAATCTACACATACTTTTCTAGGTGTACCCAGGATTTGGTACTGCTGTGAGAGATTAGAAATTGGTTTCATGCCATTTTTCCCCCCCTCGTTAAATGGACTATTGTTGGAATACTCATTGATTGGACTGCACAAACAGTTCCAGCAGGGCTGATCTTAACAGGCCAATGCTTTTTTGGACATGGGTATGATGATAGGGATGAGGTTCAAATTGTTTGTTCTGTCCTTAATTTCTTTTTCTTTGTGCCATAAAACAAAGTCTGTTTTCACTCCATGATTCATGTTTACAATTTTTGGGGTAAGACACTGTTTTCTACTTCTTGGTATCTTGCTTGTAAAAATTACGAAAGATTTTTTTTAGTGATTATGGTTTTTGTATCCCGTTCTTATTTTTTATCACCCTTCTCATTCATGAATATTTGGGGCTGTTATTATTAGTTTATAGCATAAGTTTGGTAGGATTCATTAACTGGACGTTGGATACCGAAGATGGAAAAATATTGAATATCATATTGTACCATTACATGCTGTAAATTCAAATTTTGTCGGATAACAAAAGCTATTTACAATGCTTCTTTCTTTTCATTTTGCAGGCAATCTCAGTTACAGCAGAAACAAAGCGTGAGGAGGAAAAAGCAAAGGGAGTAATCAATTCGGACAATGGGGCTGAGAACCCAGATATTGTCCCATTTGAGGACAATGAAGAGGAGGAAGAGGAAGAAAGCGAGGAAGAGGATGAGAGCTATGGCCAAGCTTTTGGGGCAGCTGCCGCTCAAGGCAGAGGAAGGGGCCGGGGAATGATGTGGCCCCCACATATGCCTTTTGCACGTGGAGCCCGGCCTCTCCCTGGGATGCGGGGCTTTCCCCCTGTTATGATGGGTGCCGATGGATTTTCATATGGAGCTGTCACGCCCGATGGTTTTCCCATGCCCGATCTTTTTGGTGTGGGCCCACGCCCTTTTGCTCCGTATGGTCCAAGATTCCCCAATGACTTTGCAGGTCCCGCATCTGGCATGATGTTTCATGGCCGACCACCAGCTGGCGGATTTGGGATGATGATGGGTCCAGGACGAGCACCTTTTATGGGTGGGATGGGCATTGGAGCTGCACCTCCAGCAAGAGCCGGTCGGCCGGTTGGTATGCCGCCAATGTTTCCACCACCACCGTCACAACCGTTGCAGCACTCAAACCGTCCAGTTAGGAGGGAACAGAGGGGACCGGCTAATGACAAGAACGACAGATACAGTGCCGGTTCAGATCAAGGCAAGGGTCAAGAGATGGGTGGTTCGGGAGCTGATGACGAGACGCAATATCAGCAAGGAGGAAAAAATCAAGAGGATCAATTTGGTGCTGGAAACAGCTTTAGGAATGATGAGAGTGAAAGTGAGGATGAAGCGCCAAGAAGGTCGAGACATGGAGAGGGAAAGAAGAAGAGGCGGAGTTTGGAGGCCGATGCTACTGGTGGCTCTGATCAACAAACTTAGTAATATCCCATTAAAAAGGGTAGGTATAACATTACTTCATTTCTTCGAAAGATGATGATAAATCTATACTATTCACATTGGGGTTGTATTGTTGTTTAATTGAGAATGTTTGCTACAAAAATTTCTAGGGAAATTTCTCCTTTTATTTTTAGGTCTAGATTTTCAAATATCTTGTTGTGTGTATAATGTATTAAAACAAAATTAATGTAGGGATAGGTGGGGTGTGAATTATTTTTGTTGCTTTACTTTGCACTGTGGGGAGGGAATTGATATAATGTAGCATGTACCCCCCACATCATACCTTATATTCTGATAATGTGGAAAAATTGCTGAAAAATGAAAATATATATATATGGATGTTGCAGTAAAGGATGATATACCACTTGGTTGATGGAAATTATTCAATTAATTTAATTTTTTATTTTGGCGTATATTTCATTGTATTTTTTTGTTATGTTTCATTTTATTTTCTTGTGCATCTGGGTTCTTGTAGTCTGGTAATGGTCCCTCTGCTTCACCCTCTTGTTTACTTTTAGGCTAGGTTTCGATGACAGGAATGAAAATTTGATTATTGAATTCTATGATTTCACGTGAATTTTATTATTAGTATGTGATTCTTGGGGCTGAAATTATTAATTTTTTCTCGTTATTTCTTGTCATTCAAACATATATTTAGGGATTTCACTTGTGCATGAAAAGGAAAAATATTATAAAAATAAAGGGTTAGAAGATAAATTAGGTGACAAAAGTATTACATTGAAATGCAAGTTGAAATTTAGTGATTTCATTGTTGCAATAAAAATAAAAATAAAAAATAGCCAAAAAGTCCCAAGGAAAGTTAGACGGTAAAAATTGTGAATTATTTTTTTTTTTCTTTTTTTCCCCCTCTCTGCAACTCTCTTCAACTCGCTCAAAGTGGTCATTTTGTGCTTTGAGGGCTTCTTCCTCCTAAGAATTGGAGATAACCATTTTAACTCGTCTTATCCATCTCATTTGCATTCACCTTATAATATATGAGTTTTTTCTAATATGATCAAGGTTTAAGAACAGGGTGGGTATTAACTCACTTCTCAACTTGAGTATATTTTAAAAAATTAATATTTTAAAATTACTATATTTATTGTCACTGATGAATCTTTTCAAAAGCAAGCATTCTGTGATTTTAAAATTACTTGGGGAAGAATATGTTTCAATCTATTAGCTAGTGGCTTTGGAATTACTTTTGTATACCACATTGCACAATGATATGGATCCAAAACTTTCCTAGCTTTTTAACCTTTTGGTTTCTTAGCTTTTAACCTTTTGGAATCAACCTAACAATGTTATCATTTCTCTGGGTTATAAATTGTCTTCCATTAAGCACACATCAAGCACTACTCTAACCACCTCAGGTCTGACCATAGTTAACCGTTGAATTTATAGTAACTTACACTAACACCTCTTGTATTATATTGAAACTACACTAATACTTCCTATATTTTTTTAAATTACAATGCTTTTCCATAATAATTTGTTTAACAACTGAAAATGCCAACTTTGCTTTTCCATAGCATAGTTAAAATGAAAATAAATGAAAATGCCAACTTTGCCCTTGTAAATATTTATACATAACAAAAATTATAAATAAATGGACGACAATGGTGGTTATTATTGGGTGTTAATATTGGATGTTGGTCGATGTCATGGGAGGTGAAAGAGAATGATTAGTAATATGGTGGCAACTAGAAATGATGGACATCTGTGGTAGTAATTGATTGTTATGGTTGCAAGTAGAGGCTTGGTGGTCAGTGAGTTTTCAAATGGTAACAATGTGGAGAAAAATAGAGAGAAAGAACAAAGGAGAAGGAATATATTGTAAGTATTGTGGTAATTTTACCATCTTAACAAATAGTATTACATGATAAGGGATCCCATTGTAATTTTGGGAAATAGAGGGGTGTCAATGTAATTTCAACGAATAAAATGGCTATTAGTACAATTTTTCCTTCAATTTATGGTCTCTTTCACCCTAACATATTTGCATTCACTATCCTTTGAATACCTTACGAGTTGACATAACTAAAAAGTTTTGGAAAATATCCTATCACAACTATACCTTCTATTTCTATATGTTTTGCTATCATCCTCCAATCGAAGTGTAAAAACACACCATTATATTACTAATGTTATACTATAAATAGCATATATATTTAATGTTAAAAGTGTGCACAAACCATTTAGGATAATCAAGTAGTTTTTATCTTTTAAAGGTGTTTAGCAAACAATTAGGTGTCAGTCATGTTAACCAAGTTGGGCTTGTTTCAAGTTCACCGTGTAAATTGAAGTAGTCTAGTTTAATTTTGGTATGTAGGCTTGATGATCTGATCTATTCATCTTATATGTCTGTATATAAATTGTTCACCAAAAAAAATTAAATTAATCCAATAATTATAGTTACATAATTTTTATCAAATTTACCGTAAACCTAATTTTGAAAATAGTTTGTTAATTTTTTAAAGACAAATTTAATAAAATCAAATGGTTATGATTATTAGATACATTTGATTGTTTTTATGAATAATCAACACCAAAGGCCTAAAAGTAAACGAAATGAATCATTAAATGGAACATGTAGACCCATGTGCCCAAATATTGTAGGTTTGAAAATAGGTAGTTAGTTATGTTTTGATCATGAATTTGAAGATGGATTTACCGAAGAAAAAAAAATCGTTTATATGTCTTTTACTTTTACTTTTCCTTTCACATTTAACTTTTTTATCTATATCGAAACACTACTTAAAAGAGGATAAGAGAAAAGCCTATCTTATTCCAAATATTTTTGTAATTGTCATAAAACCTTGTAGTATTTGTGTAATTTTTTGGGGAGAACTACTGAAAAATGGAAAGTAGGGCAATTATTTACAAAAGTAGTGAGGAATAAACAAATTTGCGAGTGGTGGAATTCAATAGTGTAATGACCAAAATACCCTCACTTTTTTATCTATATTATCTCTCATCATTTATCTTTCTTTCTCTGTGTCTCCTTTACTTTCCAACATCGGCTATGACTTCCCCGTCCTTCACAACCACCAAGCACAACTTCCTTACCTTCCATAGTTGTCAACCACCACTTTCTCCAGCCTCTACCTTCTCAACAACACTCCAACTCTATCTACCCCAGTCCTACCCAATCTTCCAATCCTTTTCGCTCACTCTTAACTATCTCCAATTCTTTTAGTCCACCTATAGCCTCTTTCTCCAACCCCTCAACCCCTTTTTATCAAACAACTAGAGAAACAAAACCGTAATAGACGGAGAGAAAGAAAAAAGAAGAACAAGAAGAAATAAACAAAAAATAAGAGAAATTAGATATAGCCCTCATTTAGCATAGGTTAAAATGAGGTTGGGGGCTAAAATAATTACAAATAAGTTAAAAAAATAAAATGTCACATCAAAATTATAATCATTTTATTTTTTTTCTCACAAAAATTAAAAAAAAAAAAAAATCCAACCCAAGCAAGGCTTTTTAGACTTAAGCTAAATAGTCAAATATTATAAAGTTAACCCACATTTGAAACGGAGCCATAGACAATCTTAATAGAGGAGGTTTTGATGGTGAGTGCAAAGTAATTGATCTTGGTGAATGAGATCTTGCTAGTGAAAGTCATGATAAAGCCCTGTGGCATTCGATTTGATCAATGCAAGGTTTAAGTGTTGTATGCTGGCATGAGAGGAGCAACCAATGGTAAGCAAAGGTGAGGATAGTGGTAATGGTGGCTAAGAAGAGACCAAGACTAGTGGTCTTGTTTGGTGTAGCTATAGATTATAGATTAAGATTTTAATTAGAAATTGTTAATCTGTTTGGTGTAGTTGTTAGATTATAAATTTAAATTGCTGAATAGTGTTTGTTAAATAAATTGTGAAATAGTTTTTTTAATTAATTAATTTTTTATTATTCATTACTTGTCTATATTTCTCATAAAAAAATAATAATAATAATAATAATCTATAATCTATTTGGGTCTTTTTATATTTTTAAAAAAATTATTAAAAAAAATTTAAGAGTATAACCATAAATTAATATGTTTACAGCAGAAATTGATAATCAAAAGTAAGAATGAGTAGTTTATTAGAATCTGTTTTTTTGAATTAAAATAAGTTATTAGAATCATAAACTGTTTAAAATAAGTTTAATCAAACAGTTCAAAATAATTTTTTCAAAACTAAAAATTATAAATTGACTCAAAAAAATCCAAACAAACACACCAGTAGTGACAATGGTTCATACGAATGATTGGGGAGCTTAAAGAGTGAGATAGAAAATAAAAAAAATGAGGTCAAACTTGTAAAAAGAAAAAAAACTATTTTTTACAACTTTTGATCCCCGTGTAATTAGTAAAAGGTTCCCAGTTTTTTTATGATTTTTATTATATAATAAAATAATAATTTTTTTTATTGATAATTCTCCCTATTTTTTTTCTTCAATTGGTTGATGGTGATTTTTTATTAAATTATTATATCCATAATTTGCCCAAAGACTTCTTGAAATTGCACTGAAAAAGACTTCTTTGAAATTGCACAGAAAATTGTTATTTATTTACCTATTATTTTTCTGTCATTATCAGATTAGACTGATTTTTAGATATATTTCTTTCTAGTGATTGATATTTTAGTTTTCTCCCAAACACTACCGCCCCTGCGATTGCAATTCCTCTCTCTCTATCCTTCTCTCTCCGTCCCTCCTCTTTCTCTCTCTAACCTTGGAATCGATCGAAATCCAATCCCTCCAAAATTAGGGTTTGTTCGAAGTCTTGATCTCTCCATCAAAATTTGAGCTACGAGACATTTTCCTATCCATAATTTGCCCAAAGACTTCTTGAAATTGCACTGAAAAAGACTTCTTTGAAATTGCACTGAAAATTGTTATTTATTTACCTATTATTTTTCTATCATTATCAGATTAGACTGATTTTTAGATATATTTCTTTCTAGTGATTGATATTTTAATTTTCTCCCAAACACTACCGCCCCTGCGATTGCAATTCCTCTCTCTCTATCCTTCTCTCTCCGTCCCTCCTCTTTCTCTCTCTAACCTTGGAATCGATCGAAATCCAATCCCTCCAAAATTAGGGTTTGTTCGAAGTCTTGATCTCTCCATTTCTTCGCCAGATTCAACTACGTATATCAATTTCGTTTCGCGTCTCGAATTTCTAGGGCTTGGTTTGTCAAAGATCTTCGGCAGACTAGCAGAGCCTTGTTCTTGAGGCTTTAGGGTTTCTAAAGTCTTTTAGATCTAATTTTTAACGATTCCTCCTAGGCCATTTCGTTTCCTTGTTCAACATGTTTTGGCGTATGGCTGGTTTGTCTACTGCATCGCCTGTAAGTATTCATCTTTCTTTTTAGATTCATTCTTTGGCTTAGAGTTTTGTGAATATTGAAATTGGTGTGAAGTTCTTAGTTGTGTTTAATTTACCATATGTTTGGCCGCTGAGAACACGAAAGAAAAAGAAAAGGGAAGGCAAGAAAGTTACTCTTTGGAATCATGTGCTTTGTTTTCGGGAAATGTAGTATTAAATTAGTGCTTTGTTCGTTTATATTGGATCCTGTTGTTGAATTTATCGTAATTCAATGCAACAGTGTTAGAGGAGATACGCACTGTTAGATTTGTGTGAATGGGTTTGGTGTTATGTGTTTTGTAATAATTTACCCAACAAAATTATGGTGAGAAGGGCTTGTCGCTTACGTCGTTTCCGAGGACAGTGCATTGGGGTTCAGAAGCCTTCTTTAATAGCCTGTGTTAAATAGCCACATCATCTCAGTTTGTTACGTGATTGAGACGTGCACGACAATTATAGGAAATTTAAAATTACGATTTTTGGAGCTACAATAAGCTTGTGACTTAAGGGTTTAATACCACTAGGAGAAGAATTGTAGGGCTTGTAAACCAAAAGGGTTAGAATTAACTTAGATCAATAAAGTGGCTGGTTTTGGTAAGCTTTTTCTTTGAGAAATTTGAGATACGGTTGGTTACTACAATACTTGATTTGTTTATAGGAGATTTTTTATTCCAATATGGAGAACTTAATAGATGAATTTTTGCTGATTCTATATTTCATGTCTTGCTCCAGTACAAATTAGCCATCAAACCTCATCTATTCAACCCAATTCCATCCACAAACCATTTACATTATAGGATTTGTGAAACCTTTTTATTTATAAACAATTCTAGACTTTAGCTCACCTGGAAAGAGATTGGAACTAGCATTAATCTTGAATTTTCAAAGTGGTGTCCTACGTGTATTAGTGTACAAATTTGATAAAATTGGAGTTGGGTAGGGCTTAATACCATTCTTACCGTTCGAAGAATATTAATTGGTGCCGATGAAGGATGCTTTTGAAGCAGAGCTCTTTGTACATTTTTGTTGTTCAAAATTTTGCAAGAGTAGTGGGTTTATGAAGACTTTACTTGATTCGTGCTGCAGGGATTGGCTTGTATTTTGAGGCTTTCTTTGACTGCATCCTACAAGCTAGTTTATTTGGTCTTTTTAACCCAATGACAGACCTCAAAAGGCCAAAAACTAACTTTTGCATGGAGATGCGTTCGGCGGTTTGGTTGGAGAGGCGTTTGCTCCTCGTGGTGCATAGTTGGTTAACGCTGACTGTGGACCGGGCTGTTTTGTCTTTTGTTGAATTTGTAGAGGACTTGTCTTCATAGTTCTTTTGCTTGCTTTTATTCATGTTTGTGTAGTTCCGGTTCAGCCTGCTTTTTGTTTGTTAGTCTAGCTTTTGTATTCTTTGCATCGCCTTGATGCCTTTTAATAAAGTTGATTTATTTATCAAAAAAAAAAAAAACTAACTTTTTCATAAAAAAAAATGCCAAAAACTAACTTTTCCATAAAAAAGGAAAAAAAGTCAATACGTATGAAAAGCCATTTAAAGGCTGCCTAGAGCATAGTTGCAAAGCACAAAGTGCAAGCATGTGCCTGATGAAGTAAGCCGCACTTAAAAAAAAAAATGTATAATGGCAAAGGATTTATAATAGGAAGTTAATAGAATATTTAAATGACAACATATTTAGCCTTTTAAGCAAAATGATTAGAGTGTTATGCAATTGTAGAAATGTTGTAGATGTAAATTTTGCATCCGCTTGTTCAATTTCTTAAAACTTCAATTCAAAGTAGGCAACTGAATCGTATTATTTGTAAACTTAATCCCTAATAAAATAAGAAACTAAATATCACAAAGATCCTAATTAAACTATTAATGTACATAAATATTAAAAAGTGAGCCAATAAATCAACAAGCATGGATTGAACATGCAAAGAAAATTTTCAATACCTATAAAATAAACTCTTTTGGACTTGAATAAGTAATCGGTTGGTGGTTGGTCAATAGGGAGAGCTGCTTTTAGTGAACTTGTTTTCAGCGTATGGTTTTCGTGCCCTTCGTGGATTTCAATACCTTCTGAATTTTCTTCAAAAAATAACATCACTTTCTGTGAGCATTGGACCTACTTCCAGTTGATCTTCACATTTTGTCCGAGGATTCATGAAGCACCTCCTAAAAGTGAGTCAACAATTTGTCCAAAGTTGATTGTATCTATGTTAATTGATTTGACATTCGGTCCTGGGAGGCCTTCAATTCTTGTAGGTCTTGATGTAAGGCACCAAATTTTGAGTTTAACTCAACGTTGTCTGTTACTAAGGAGGAACACGATGTATATATATTTATATATATTTTTGTTCACTTTTTTTTTGAATTGGCCGGTTGATTTTGTTGGGTAAGCCTAATAGGTAGGTTGGACTTGGGATTGGATTGGGTTTTGGGAATAGCCAATTCTAATAGAGGGGAAATTAAGAGCATATATTTTAGACTGGTAAATCCTCAAAATATAATTAGTGCCAGTTAGTTATACGATGAGGATACATAGAAATTAAAGAAAATTTATCAAAAGAAAAAGATTGTACGTAGAAACTAAAAACAGGCATTACATGGTTTGATAAAAAAGAGCTTGATATTATAGAAATTCAAACGAAGTTGAAATAGGATTAAATACATACAAGAAATAAAAAAAGGAAATATTGTGGGGTCAAATCAGTAATCACAGGAGAAACTAAAGCCTGATTACATGAGGCATAGGCCTTAGGAGCCAAGAACTCAAGTGTTACACCCTGATTATGCGTTGCTTTGTGAGGAATATGCCCAATAATACCTCTGCTTAATTTTTTAAACCTTGAGTCAAGGCTCAGAAACCTTTGCACATCACACATCTGCCTCTTCCATTTTCTCAAAATTGATTTTGATTTTGTGTGCATTGTGTTGGTGAGCTGGTGTGGATGTGCTCATGCATTTATATATTTCTTCGTGGAGAGATGGTGAAAATTTTCTAGAACTTCCCTTGTTTCGTTTGTTTAGCTTTTTGATTGGGATTCAGTTACAATTATGCTATTGTTATGCCAAAATTTGAATGGCAACCATTTTTTTTGGAATTTATAATAAACAAATTATTTAAATTCATCCATCATTTTATATTTTGGTTTCCATATATTCATTGCAGGTGGAGACAATTATGGATAAGGAGAACTTTACATTGGAGGAGCTTCTTGATGAGGATGAAATAATTCAAGAATGCAAAGCTCTTAATAGCCGCCTTATTAATTTGTATGATTTTCCACATGCTCGCACTTTTTTGCAGTTTAGTTGCAGAAGAATGCGACATTTGTAATTGACACCTTATTTATTCGTAAAGTTCCCAAGTCAATCACATGCTAATATTTTCTTTATTTAGTTGCTTCTCATTTTTTATTCCCTTTCTTCTGTGTTCAAGCAATGATTAGTTTCTATAGCATTTGTTAATGCTTACAAGTCAAGCACTTGCCAACATTTTCTTTATTTAGTTGCTTCTTGTTCATTTTTACCTTTCTTCTGTATTCAAGCAATGATTAGTTTCTATAGCATTTGTTAATGCTTACAAGGATGGTTCTGTGGCAGGATCATCTGATAAACAAGATTCTTTATCCTTGTTTGATACAATGGTGCTGCTGTTTGGTGCTTGGTTTTGGAATCATACTTGATGCTGGATATATATGGGCACAGGAATAATTTTTGTATATAGATAGAAACTAGGGGTGAGCAGCGGATATACCGATTCGCCAAAACCGACCGAACCGAGCCGATCCGCCGCATTTTGAACGGATGCGTGATGACGAGCGGACGGTTGCAGATTGATTTTCTCCAATCCGCCAATTTGGCGGACGGATGGCGAATTTGAGGTTCCTTTGGTCGCAACCGAACCGCGAAACCGCGAGCATCCTTAGTAATTTATAAGATTTTGTGTCTTCAATTTGTTTAAATATTTTGTTTGTATTTTGAACCGACCCGTGCCCACCCCTAATAGAAACAAATCATAGTAATAATCAATAAATTAGATCCAACCTCTATGTGACCTTCTATATTGGCTGTTGATTTTGTACAAGAAGGTAGAGTCAATGGGTGTAGATTATTATATTGCTTCCTTTGATCACAAAGGTTATTTTAGTAATTATTAACCAAAAACATTATTTTTTTTCAGCCACTGGCTTATGTACACATGCTTCATTCTTTTAATTTGATTTTATTGGTAGATGCAGTCTAAGAAGCACAAACATCGAAACACGACACACACACGTTGGCACCACAATTTTCAGAAAATGCAATCTATTTATTATATTTCATATATATATGTATTCTCCTTTCAAAGATTATAAAAAGTTACAACTAAATACTAGTTTCTAATTTTGGAGGTAGAGAGATTAGTAGGTATAATTTTATATATATATATATGTTTTAATTATTGGTTTCCAAGTTATTTTATTCAAATTTGTAATGTGTTTAATGTGTATCCAAGTGATGGACGTGCTTATCCCTCAAGTGTCCGAAGCTTATCCATCAATGTCTAAAATATTTAAAAAATAATCTGACACTTTTGGACGTGTGTTCGACACATTGGGAAGGTGTAACGAGTGTTGGCGTTCGAGATGTATCTAGTACAGACATGCATTATTAGGATGCAGTTTTTGCTTGCAAACATGAAAATTTTAAATGTCAGTATTGCTTTTGGTGTCATTTTTTCACAGAAAAACATAAATAATCACTGAAAATCACAGATTTTGTAAGTGACTCGTAGAGCAGTTTTAGTCTGTCCAGTTTATATTGATCCTGCTTCCTGCTGCTTCCTTCTTTTTTCTTTTCGGTCTTAATTACTTGGAGAAGAATATAGAAGCCCCAAGCTTTCTGCTCTCTTTTTCTGTCTATCTGAGAAAGTTAGGGCCTTTTTGGTTGTGCTTTAGTTTTCTTCATTTTCATCTTTCATGTTCTCAGAAACACGGAATGAAAAGTTTGAAAATCACATCATTTTCATTTTTGAGGAAAATCAGTTTTTGAAATTTCAAAAACTTGTTGATGTTGACACTTTGATACTCCAATTTCTGCATGAGTTGCAGGTATTTCTTTATCATGTATCTTATTACATTGTCATTAGTTTTAGGTTGGCTGGAATTGAAATCTCAAGGTTTATGTTTGCCTGCTTCTGGAAGAATATATCACCTTTGGTACTTGGTAAGCTGGAACAAGATTAGAAGAAGAAGGTTGGGTTTGTTTTGGTGCCTTTGTATCTGATGTGGAGCATTTGGGAAGAGCATAACCGGAGGTCTTTTGATGGAAGGAAGAGCCTCTTTTAAAATGAAGCGTAGAAATTTATACCTTTTGTATAGTTGGTTCGTTGGCACCAACGATCCATGCTTGAGTAAAACTTCTGAACTTTAGGCCAAGTTTGGGGTACGTAAAAAAAGCCAAAAAGTTACGCAAAAAATTAAAAAGTTAACACTATTCACCAAAAGTCAACAATTACGGCTGCACAATTCCCAATCCTAATTTTCCTCTACAAATCAATTTTACAATTTTTTATTACACATTTTTTTATGAAAAGTCAAAAAGTTAACCCAAACATCCATATTTTTTTCCTTAACTTTTTAGTCCAAAAAGACAAAAAGTGCACTTATTTAGGACACCCCAAACGACCCCTAAGTGAGAATGGATTTGAAAGCCATTGAGCTATTGAACTGGTGGAGAAAATCTAATGATCCCTTGCATATATGTATATATAGTTTTTGTTTTTGACCTATTATAACTAATTCTCTAAGTTAAAATGTGAGAATTTTAATTTTGTTATTTGTTATCTGTGTTGCACATTTCAAATTATTTTTACTTGTTTGTTTCATATACATGCCTATCACATAGATGCCTTCACTTAGGCTTGCGTTTTATGTTGCGCCTTGCGCATAGCCTTGAGGAGATCTTGGTTATTGTGTGCTTTGAGCATTTAAGAACTGTAGTTTGTAGTAATCTTATCTGTGTACATAATTTTATTTTCAATGTGTACTAAACTATTGGATGGTTGCAGAAATTACTTGGTTTTGTGCATTGCAAGATGTTGGATTCTCCTTGCACCTGCGATGTGACTCTTTATGATCATCACTTGTTATAGATTTGCTCTCTCTTAATATGTTCTCAGTGTATTTTGTAGTGTTTCCCCCCTTTGTCAGGCCAAAGTTGATTTGCTGGATTCTTTTTTCCTTTTAAAATGAATGATGTGTGTTCAGTCCATGTGTACTTCAACAATGAAATTTTTGTGATTCTTTTGCACTGTTCCTTTGCAGTTTGCGAGAAAGAGCTCAGGTTGAACAACTTCTTCGATATATAGTGGAAGAAGCTCCTGAGGATGCTGAGAAAAGACGAACTTTTAAGTATGTGTCTATGGCAGCTATGTAAATTAAAAAAATAAATAAAAATTACCTTGTACACCTGGATGCAATTTATGATGTATCTGTGATTCACTGTATCTGTGGCTGTGTGTAATGACGGATTTTGTTATTTGATTGTGTACACAGGTTTCCTTTTATTGCATGCGAGATTTTTACTTGTGAAGTTGATATCATACTCAAAGCATTGGTAGAGGATGAGGAGGTGAGAAGTTAATAAGAGTTTTTTGTCCACTTCAATTTTTCCTCTCTGATTGATATAGTTAGGTAAACTGATTCGTTATTTCTGGTCGACAGTTGATGAACTTCTTGTTCTCCTTCTTAGAACCTGAACACTCTCATAGTACTCTACTGGCTGGTTATTTCAGCAAGGTATTTTGTTATTTTACTTTGAAATATTCATAATGGCAGAATCATTTACTATTTTGATTAGAATGAAAAAGTATTCTTTTCAAATTTATTTATGTTTTTAATATCTCTCTCATGGTATTATCATGATATTATGTGGATTTTGATGCGTTGATTTCTATCTGTTGTTAGGTTGTCATATGCCTTTTGTTGAGGAAGACTGTTCCTTTTATGAATTATATTCAAGTAAGTCCAGGAGATTTACTTTCTTGCGGTAAAATTACTGTTTTTTTTGCATATGTGATGAATTTTTGAGTGATTGAGGTTTAATGGATATGGTATACCTTTGCACACACTTGCACATGCAATGGTATGTGTGTGCTCATAATTTGTAACTATAGAATTGAGGTAATTTTTCACCCATCTACATATTATGTTCAATGTATTTTACAAGAACCACGAACAGTTACTGTTGGTTTAAGTGGATGGTAGAATATCTATTGAGAGGTAAAGATAAAAAATCATAAAACGAAACATAGAAATAAGTGGACTAATTGGCATTGCTCATTGTTAGAGGGTACTCATAGTAGTTTCAAGTGTCCATCTCATGACCAACACCGTAGAAGCAACATATGCAAGTTTCTTCTTTAACACCCGGTGGTTCAATAAGGTAGAAGGAAGGATGTAGGCTTGTGAATTGGAAGGGGTTGTGATTGGCTTGGATTTTTGAAATGGCAGGTTACAGGAATCCAACTAATCAGGCACTGGAATCTTTGGAGAGAGTATTTTAAAGGAATTCAGGGTTAAATTAAAGTAGAATAGGGTTTAGGGTTGGTTTGGTTTAGGTATGGAAAGGGGTTAGCGTAGATTTTGGCTTGTGTTCAAAGTGTTCTTGGGCTGAAAGCGCGCTGTGAACAGTATTACTCGAATGGTAACTTGGTTGCTGCGTGGAGGAGAAAAATAAGAAGAGTGGAAGAAGTCTTCAATCTTGCAAGGTTGAAACAAAATCACACAATCATAAAGTTCTAATAATGTCAACTATACTATTGGAAATATTACATGCATATTTGGTGGCTACTACAGAATTAATACTCCAACTTAGGGAACTTAGAATGTTGATTAGTTCATATATCATAGAATTTATATGGACTATGTGCAATACTCAGAAAACATGATCCATATTAAGATAGACTGATGGGATGGGACAAAACCACTGGTCATGTCCAGCAAATCTAGAAAAAATAAGGAATACCCCTAAAATCATATAATCTAATAAACCATAATAAAATTGCACTAGTTGACCAGGTGGAGGAACTTACCATTTTTTTTGCTGAAATTTTTATGCTTCCTGATTGATATGTAAATGGCATTGAGCTGATATCTACATTATGTGCTCATTTAGGCTCATCAGGAAATTATCAGGAAGCTGGTTGACCTTATTGGAATAACGTCCATTATGGAGGTTGGTTACTCAGCATTTGCGCCCCCTGCAGATTCCCCACGCACGGCGAATTATGCATCTCTTGCTAATGTATTCCTTGTTTAACAGGTTTTGATTCGTTTAATTGGTGCTGATGAGCATCTCTATAGCAATTACACAGACTCGATGCAGTGGGTAGAGGATACGGATGTGCTGGAGATGATTGTGGATAAATACAGCTCATCAGTAAGTTGCATTGATCTGGAAATTATTGAATTGATGAGTTTCTGGTATAACCTCGTTGGGCCTGTATATTGCTTGAGTCTCTTTGAGCTTCGGTAGGTGGATTCAAGAAATCACGCCTTCTTGATTTTCTTGTACATAAGTAACATTTCCCAATTGTTGGAACCCATCATAAAAGGTACTAATGGAGGTATTTCTGGTCAACTTTTTTATCAGAGAGACGATAAACCCCATGTATTATGCTGCTTTGTGACGAATCACCAATGTGCTTATCAAAGTGGTTAACTTTGTTATTTGTTGCACTACTCTAGACCATATTAGTGATTCTCCTTTTTTGACTGATGGAATTAGTTGAGAATGATTGCCATGGGAGATGATCCTGGGCAAGTTCTTCATTTTTCGTTAGTTTAGAGCTTTCCCCCACGTATACATGGCTGACTTTTCATGTTTATAAGTACTTGAGCTTGGATTTAGAGTTTTATGGTTATGTTCATCTTTTTTAGTTACTTTAGAGTTTTTCTCCTATGTGTACATGGCTGACTATCCATGCTTCTAAATGCTTGAACTTGGATTTAACGAAGTTGTTTTCCAGGTTTTTTTGCAACTGTGTATATATTTCACTTAAATGTTTATTAAACACTTATTGCAGGATTGCCCAGAAGTGCATGCCAACACAGCAGAAACACTGTGTGCTATAACTCGATATGCTCCTCCTGGCCTAGCTGCTAAAATCACCAGCCCAAGGTAGCACTAGTTTTCATTCTGATCTTGCGGGAAGTTCACAATATTATATCATCTGTTTGTTTCCTATTATTTAGAGAAGTAATTGTTTGTTTTATGTTCACAGTTTTATAGGAAGACTCTTTTGTCATGCTCTGGAGGATTCACGGCCAAAATCTGTTTTGGTTAACTCATTGTCTGTATGCATATCTTTGTTAGACCCCAAAAGGCTGACCTTGGGGACATATCATTTTTACAGCCGTCAACTGTCTCATGGATCTACAATAAGTGCTAATCCCGAGACAGTAGAGGGCATGCTAGGGAGCCTAGGTAAGGGAACAGAACTTATTCATGATTTGAGTTGTGAATTATGGGGAGCCTTTCACTCTACTGTTTACTGTCAATAGTAGATCGTTGTCATTATGAGATGGGAAAAAAACAGCCACTTTTCGAAAGTGATTTTTATTAAAAAAAAACTTATCAAGCTTTTTTTCTTCAATGCACCTCTCACCTTTAGGAGAAAAAAATTTCTATGGATATTATCTGATAATTTATATTTTCTAGGTAATTCTTGGGTATGGTGTACATATTCTTTTGTAGAATTAGCAATATTTGGGTCTTTTGAGAAAAACTGTGTTTTGCTTATTTATGCTACGATTAAGGAGATTCTGATTGTTTAAAACTAGTTCTCCCAACTCAGATATATCCAACATTGAGTTTGTATTTAAATTTTTTGAGCAAAATAATTGGCAGTTCAGAAGATTTGTAAGCTGGATGATATGCTGCATGATAGTGTACATTGTTGTAGGCCTGCTCCATATTGATAATGGTACTGTTGATACAAATATGTGGGGAAAATACTTCTTTTTTTTCTCAGCCATAGCATGAATTTATAGTAATCAAAAAATAACAAGAGAATGCAAATGAGAGCAAGAAATCTTCCAAGAAAAGAAACGAAGTTACCAATCACACATCGCTATCCAATCGTTATGGTTGTAAATTTGTTTCATAGAAGGAAATGTGGTCAAAGAGTTGTAATATTAGGATATCACGAGGAACCAATAATTTTCGTCTCTGTTTTCTTTTGAAGGTGATTTACTTAAGCTTTTGGATGTTTCATCGGATGACAATGCCTTGATTACAACATATGGCAAGTTGCAGCCACCTCTTGGAAAACATCGTCTGAAGGTATTCTTTTCTTTTGGCATTTTAGAGTAACAAAATGTTATTTGTGCGAGGCTAAATCCACCACTTCACCTTGTTTTGCTCTCCTTGTCCCAAGGGAAAATGTTGGAGTTTTCATAAATGAAGATGGATAGTGAATATGAATTAACGCTACTTAATTATGATTATCATTTAACATGCTGCCATTCAGATTATAGAGTTCATCTCAGTCTTAGCGACTGTTAGTAGTGAAGCTGTTGAGAAGGAATTGATCTGCCTTGGTGCAGTAAAATGCATTTTAGACTTGTTCTTTGAGTAAGTGCCTCAGTTCAATTTACTCCTTTCTTCTTCTTTTTCCTTCTTACCATTTGAAGTGGAGCAACTAAATTCTGCGTATCTTACTTAGTTTTGATGCGATTATAGGTACCCATTCAATAATTTTCTGCATCACCATGTTGAGCACATTATTATGTCTTGCTTGGAGAGCAAGAATTCTTCTTTTATTGAACATCTTCTTCATGACTGTAATCTTGTTGGGAGAATCCTTGAAGCAGAAAAGAACATCACGTTGGCTGCTGATCCAAACAAGGTAATAATTTATTTTGTCTATGGTTTCAACAATCTATTTGGTTAATTAGTTGTTCATTTGCTATTCCTTTTGCATTTTCTTAGATTTGTGTGTACTGTTTTATTGTTGTATTTTATTTATTTTTACTTTGTGCTGTTAATTGGTATGTATTAATTCTGGTTATGCATGTTGAATCCGATTTATAATTAAGTTATTTATTTTTTTTTTTTTATGTATCTTCCAGCCTGCGATCCCTGCTGAGGGTAAACCACCACCCAGGATTGGGAATATTGGACACATAACACGGATATCTAACAAACTTGTTCAATTGGGTAACAACAACAGTGATATGCAGGCATATCTACAGGTTTTTCCTGACCTCTGTCTGATCAGCAGCTATAGTTAATCAATATTTTTTTGATCAGCGCTAAAGTTAATCAATATAAATAGCATGATAACTTAGTGTCAAAGTTTTGAACTTTTATTTTAACCATTTCCAGTAAGTTGTCTTTAACACATGTTACCTATAAGCGAGAGGTATTCCGAACATTAAGTTTCAATTCTAGTTCTTTCGGCCTCTGTTATTTTGCCTACTTTTTCGGCCTTGCAGCCATGTTTGCATATTAGTGGTATTGTGTCCATCCTGAATGTCTGTTATCTTCTTCTCCTGGCAGGAGAATAGTGAATGGGTAGACTGGCATACAAATGTCTTAGTCAAGCGCAACGCTGTAGAAAATGTCCACCAGTGGGCATGCGGGTAGGTCTTCCTTAATTACAATTGTTGTCCCGCTGTTGCTTTCATATTATCAGTTGATATTCAAGCTTGGTGTTCAGCAAGGCAGGCATGTTATTTTCTGCATATAATGAAGAAGTTAAAGACTCAGATGATAGTTTTCTGTTTGTGTTGATGTTATACTGTCAGTTGATTTCAAGCATTCATAACAGGCATGGTAGATATGCTTATCCAGATTTTGTAGTGGTTGCAGTAAACCTTTGCTAACTGCTGATTTCTAATTCAAAATTGCGAGTTGGATATTTGTTAAACCAAACCAAACCAAGCTTAAGTCCCATCAAATGGGGTCGGCTGCAAGTTGGATATTTGTTAATCTACTTAAATTTTCCTTTCTTTGTTTCTTTTTTTCCCTGTATTTTATATAATGGGTAAATTATACTAACCTCCCTTGAAGTTAAGCATAATTGCAAGGACCTCTCCTATGGTTTCAATAATAACACTAACCTTTCTTACTTTTGAAACTATTATCAAGATTCCCCCAGATTCCCCCTTATACTAACTGGGCATCAGACTGTTAAAAATGACTATAAAATTACTAATGTACCCTTATGATCTATGCCATCCCATCTTCCCCTCTTTATGAATCTGCCACATTGTTTACTCCATGCGTTATATAAAACTATAGCTTGACCAAGGCCTTGGCATTATCAGCAAGTTTCCATTTTGTAATTGCCACTAGCTAACAGTGACATAAGTTATCCACAACCACCTGTGTTGGTTCTTCCCAGCCATTATGCCTATTGTATAAAAAACCTCCCAAGTTATGATGTTTTTACACTTGGGAGAACCTTGTTCAGTGAGGGGTTACAACTTGGGAGAGACAGGTGCAACCCGAATATCTTTGAGGTAGGAATTACTAAAGATTGATTATATGCATGTATTTCATTGTAAATGGGAAATACAAATTTATTATATATGCCTTTATTTTTTTGATTGGCAAAAAGAAATTTTTTTAACTCGAATAAAGAGATGCATGAAGAAAATAGTGATTAAGAAAAACAACAATTATGCATGCACATAATTAAAACGTAGAAAAGTGTACAGAAAATACAGTGGTTTAGATTTATTTTAAGCGTAATTCACATAACATTCAAGATGGATCTCAGCCATACATTATACTTTTTGTGCATTTTCTATATTTTAAATTTCTGCAATTATCATTTTTGCAAGAAAAAACCTTCATCACTAAGAGGTATATCCCAACTAAATGGAGACACTAAAAAAAAATAAGTTCTAACCTAATCTAAAACCCAAAGGCATGCCTTAAGCTGGCAATATGCCAACCCAAAGTGAAAAATACATCCAAATACAAAGCTGCAATCCTAAATAACACTACAAAGAGTAAATTAACCAATAGTCCTCATCTCCCAACAGAGTTACAGAAGCTAATCGTCAAGACAAAATATATAAAATAAGCAGTCCCCAATGTAAATGACAGAATAAAAGTAAGCACCAAAGATTTTCATGTTTGATTATTTTGCTAAAAGATTTTTTTGGGTCCTTGAATATACAATACAATTAAGGGGCATTTTGTGTATTCAAACAAAATCAAACCAAACTAATCAAGTCTTAAGTCCCATCAAATGGGGTCAGCTACATTAATCTTTCTTCTTCACTCGATTCCATTAACAAACATTTGGTTGGTTAAATCAAGGAGATTCATATCTCTATTTACTACACTCGCCCACGTCAATTTAGGTATGCTCCTTCCCCTAACACTTTCATCTACTATCATTGTATCGCATCTCTTCACTACTACCTCAGTTGATCTCCATTGTATATGATCAAACCATTTCAATCTATTCTCTCTCAACTTATCTTCTATTGGTACTACTCTTACCCATTCATGAATATACTTATTCCTAATTTTGCCTTTTCTAATTTTGCCACACATCCACCTTAGCATCTTCATCTCAGCAACACTCGTCTTATTTACATGTTGTTTCGTAGTTGCTCAACATTCCATCCCTTATAACATCGCTGGTCTAATAGTCGTTTTGTAAAACTTTGCTTTTAGTCTAGTGGGTACTCGTTTATCACACAGTATCCCAATCACACTCATCCACTTAAGCCAGCCTGCCTTAATTCTTTGGACTACATCTGCTCCAATCTCCCCAACCGTTGTGATAATCGATCCTAAATAACGAAAATATTCACTCTTAGGTTGGTTCTCAATCTTCACTTCACCTCTGCTTTCATTGTTGTTGTTACTAAAATTATACTCCATGTACTCTGTCTTATTTTTACTTATCTTAAATCCTTTAGATTCAAGTCTTCTCTCCAAATCTCCAACTTAATGTTAACTTCTTTTGTAATCTCATTCACTAACATGATATCATCTGTAAAAAACATAGACCATGACACATCAGCCTCAATATTTCTCGTCAACTCATTTATAACTAAAGTGAAAAGATAAGGATTTAAAGTTGATCCTTGATGTAACCCCACAGTAACTAAAAATTTACTTGTTTCTCCAACAAGCGATCTAATAGTGGTTACCACACTTTCATACATGTCCCTAATCACATCAATGTAATCTTTTGTCACCGTTTTCTTCTCTAACACCAACCAAATTATATCCTGAGACACTTTATTATACGCTTTCTCAAGATCGATAAAAACATATGAGTGGCTCTTTTATTTTCTCTATACTTTTCTATTACTCTCTTCAAAAGATAGATCGTTTCTATTATTAATTTACCAGGTATAAATCTAAATTGATTATTTGACACCTCTGTCATATCTCGCAATCGACGTTCTATTACTCTCTTCCACGCTTTCATTATACGACACATCAACTTGATTCCTCTATATATTATAATTTTAAAAGTAAGTAAGGTTAAGTGTTGTTATTGAAACTTCAGGGGAGGTAAATGTAATTTACCCTTATATAATTATATATTGCTTGAATGTTATTTAATTGTGGCTTCCTCAACTACAACAGGAGGCCAACTGCCTTGCATGATCGGACTAGGGATAGTGATGATGATGATTACCAAGATAGAGATTATGATGTAGCTGCTCTAGCAAATAATTTAAGCCAGGCCTTCAGATATGGCATTTATGGCAATGATGATATGGAAGAGGTACTGGTAATTACTTCTCTAAACTAGTGGGCATCCCTTTTAGTTTTGTTATAAATTATTACAGGAAGTTTCTATTGCCCAAAATAGCAATTTTCGAAGATCAAATTTCTAGCATGCATTACCTACGAAAATCATGTATCAAAAAAGTATGGTGCTCCAAGAGGTTTTATCCATGTCATAGTCGGTGAAGTGCTTTGCATGAACTACTAAGATCCATTAAATTTTATTTATGTTTTTACATTTGTCTCCCCTCAGCTCCATTTACTTGAACTACTTTTATCCCAATTGAAGCCATTGACAAAACAAAATGGCAAAAAACAGTCATTTAGACAACCCCAATTACTTGGGTCGCATGTTTTGGTTGTTTGGTTATAGTTCACATTTTGTAATATACCCAAATATATGTTGTCCATGTTCACGATTTCTGTGAGTAGTTTACATGCCTTGATCATCTCAATTTGCAGTGTGACTTTAAATTTAGGATCTCCAATAGCCTTAAAATTCATCAAGTTTCTTGTAATTGGATTTCATTTCATTACATTATTGTTTGTATCTTGTTATAAGTGACAGATTGATCAAAGGAGGGGATGGAATACTTTTTTTTTCTGACCTACGGTTAACTTCAGTTTGCTTTCACATTTGTTCTTTCATGCTATGTTTGCTTTTCTTACTGTTTTATCTGGACGTAGGTCCTGGTTATGTAGTAGTAGCTATGAATTACAATTGTATTCTGAATTACCACATCTTTTGTTGCTTCTTGCAGGCTCATGGCTCGCATGAGCGGGATGATGAGGTATGCTTGAGTTGGCCTTGTCTGATGAGTTTTGATCCTACAATACTGTATATGATTAAGTGACAACATAATAAAAAAAATTTAATAGTAAATAGAATTTTTTGGAATCAAATACGACACTGATGAACGGTAAAGTAGAAAATAGCAATACTTAACCTGAACTTGGTTTCCTTAACTATTTAGTTATATATATTAGTATTGAGTTCCCTCCCTAAGCTCCCAAATATTTTGAAACTAAAACATGACTTTAATGTTATATTATGATGTGATTGTTTGGTTGCTAAGAATTTACATAGATTGCATCAATGTTATAGTAGTTTTTTTTTTGTTTTAATTGAAAAATTACAATTGTTTGGTTTGGATTTTCAGGTTTCTCTTTTTAGAAAATTGAATTTTTTTGTTTTCCATATTTTTTTGTTTTCACTGAATTTTTTTAATATTCTAAGCAATTTTTTTAATTTTTAGATACACTTAACATAAATACACTTAAAAAGTATAATATTTGTGTTTTAATTTTTAGATACACTTAACATAAATACACTTAAAAAGTATAATATTTGTGAATTTTTTTTTAAAATATTCACTAAATACCAAAAAATACAAAAAAAAAAATTAATATGAGAATTCAGTACATTTTTCGTAGTCTTGTGTATTTATTGATTTTTTAAAATATTTTTTTACAAATATTTTATTTTTTAGATACATCTAAGTAATGTGCGTGTAAAAAAGTAAAAAAAAATGCTTAAAATTTTAAAAATATTCACTAAAAACAAAAAAATACGAAAAATAAAAAACTTAATTTCCAAAAAATTGAAACCAGACACACTGAACTGAATGGCATAATAGTTTCTACCATAATCCAAACTATTGGGGTCCCTGGCCAGAAGCACAAGTGCCTTGACAATATTTTAATGTAATCCAAACTTTAATATAAATTATCAGTCTTGTCACCCATGTGTGTCTTACTTGCAGCATGTCCTTATGGACTTCAAAAATGTTGTGAGTTTGAATGAAGGAAATTGCGAAAATTTGTCAAAACAATTGGTCATCCTGAACTTGGTTTTGTGATATAGGCACTAAAAAGCACTCAAGTTATCTATTTATAGCTTCAAGATATTGTTAACTTGTTGCTTTTGCCTTAGGTTCAACTCACCTAAGTTTGAGCACAATATCCACACACCGACTAGTGAATTTCTTAAGTTGCCTTTACAATTTTTTTTTTTATTTTTTTGGTGGCAGGATGTCTACTTTGATGATGAATCTGCTGAAGTTGTCATATCTTCTCTTCGTCTGGGAGATGACCAGGACAGGTAAGTTCTATTTTTCTACCACTTCCATTATTAAAAGAGAATTTTGTTGTCTTGCAGAGGAGCTCTACTGGAGGGCACTTTACTCCATGACCATGCATGCATGTAGGCTATATATTTCATAATATTTAGCATAGGAGGTTGTTGACATTTTGATTTTTAAAGGCCACATTATCGTTGATCATTCTTGTAATTTCATGTGTCCTATTTGGCAAGGATCAAATATTTGTTAGATCAGTAAAGTATTAGAACTAATTTTGGAAATCTTTTATTTTATATTGAATGTTCTTTGTGGATAATGTGAATGCTTCGTAAAACTTTATTTTTGCCTATGAGAGTGCTTGCATGCCCTTACTTCCTGATATTATAATTAATGTTTGTGTTTTATGTCACGTTTTCAGTGGCTCTCTTTTTACAAATTCCAACTGGTTTGCCTTCGAGGATGACAGAATAGTTAACGAACGCTCTGCTGATTCCATTGCTTCTCCATCACCTAATACTGAGGGCACTGGCGTTGTCGATGGTTGTGGTGATGAGGTTAATGTCGACAAAGATGAGAATTTAACTAGCACTACATCTCAAGTGCCTGAACCAGAAGTTGGTTCAGAAACCACATTAGGTAATTTGTCCGAGGAATCGAGTGAAACTGGAACCAAAGAGAGTGATAAGCCGCCTGAATGGGTCGAATGGAGGGAGACTTCAGATTCGGTTGAGCCATCTGATACTGATAAGCCTTCAGTTTTACCCAACGGTGAACTGCAAGTGGAATCTGAAAATCGGACCGATGATATTGACCCAAATACAGCCAATCCTTCTCCATCGTCTGATGATGCATCAGTTAGCAAAACCAATGCTGGAGGATCACCAGAATCAACTGACAACTCCCGTTCGAAAGCTTCCCAGCCGCCGCCTGAATCTGGAGATGAGAATCCAAGTTCTAAGAATCCAAGTGCTTCGACAGATGTGGATAAGCCAGTTGGAACACAAGGCTCTGCTGAGAAAAAGGTTGAATTAGGGAATTGATGCGAGTTCTCTATCATGAATTTGACGGGGTTAACTAATGCCAGTGCCATTGATCTAGTGGGGAGATGACTCAAGTACTTCTGGTCTACAGTGTGTATTTTAGTGCCCCGATGTACATTATGGGGCTTAATTGTCAAATAGGGCTGATCATTCTTTCCCCATCGGTAGTTGGTAAATGAGTTCTCTCTTTCTCTCTCTCTCTCCCCGCTTTCTCTGCATTCTGGAAAGGGAAGGGGGGAGATGAAGTTTTTTTCCAATGAAGTGATTCTTTAGGGTTGGGAATGCAGATATTGCTATTTCATATGATATTACTATTTTAGCCTCTGGCTGCTAGGTGAATCACATACTGATGATGCAGTTGGGATGCTATATTTTCATAAATGATCATGGTTCTCTCTGTGTGGACCTCAAAAATGTGCAGTTTGTTTTGGTTTTAGGAATTTGTTTCGCCAAAGAACCTTAATATGCGGAGATTTATTCGGAACACTTATTTTACATGGTTGCATTCCATGATAGATATACACAGACCACTCTAATTGTTGTTATATCAAATGCATCATCTTTGAATTTTTCTACTAACAGTTGCCCTCCGTTCAGTATTTTAGGTCATTCATATCTCCTTATTTGATCCTAAAAATGGATTGGATACAATACTTTCCTTTTGAAAACCTGTGTTTGTAACCATAACCAAGTTTTCATTAATGGACTGGGTTGGCCCTAAACATTGGCTTTAATCAGTCAATTTGGACATCCAAAATTTCTAAAATATGTACCATTTGGCTCTAAATTGGATTTATTATTGTTATTATTGTAAATTTATTAGAACTATTTAATTTTAATCTTGCCGTCTTAATAAATATGCATAGGTTTACAAAAAAACTATTAAGTCCATCCATAATATGGTTCGTGGGCTGGGCCCAAAAATTATTAAGCAGACGAAAATGGGTTTATAAATTGGGCCGTAGGTTGAGCCTTAAAAAAGTTATTGGCCGACCCAAAATATGGGCCAACGAATTGAGCTATGAGTTGGGCCTAAAAAGCTTATTGGGCTGATCCACAAGTCCCACCCTTCAGCTCAGGCCCAGTGCATAATTTTAAGCCTGGCTAGGTCTGCCCATCCTGAGGCTTAGTCCAGGCTGGCCCATGGACTTTTTTGATGAGGTTCTTTTGTTGTATTTGCCGCTCATTCATTTGAAGAAATTTATGATCATAGTAAAAGCTCATTCATTGACTATGATCAAAGTGAAATTTTGATTAAACTATAATAATTTCAAAAATGTTTTAGAGCTCTAAAAGAACTCTAGGGGTGAGCCCCACTCCTTTGATGTAACATTTTGATCCTTTTTTTTTTTTCAACAATGATTCATATCACTAAAAAAAAAAAATAATACCACTAATAACACTAATGTATTGAGAATGTCACCAAAAAAAAACAAACAAACAAGGCATGCCACATCATTAGTGTTGCTATTAAAGCATCACTTTTATTGCTCTCAACCATTTTTCTTTTCTTTTTTTTTTTCCCTTACCACATCACTAAAATTTTTTAGAACTTAAAATTTAGAACTCTTTATCATTGTTGCCGTAATTTATCCTATAGTTTAACAATAACAATATCATTTGGTTCTCAGAAAAAAACAGGCCAAGCATAATTTGAAGAAGAAAAAAAAAAGTTGGTCATACAAGGCATTTAAATTATGTATTTAGGCAAAACTTGTTTAAATATATAATACCTAACATATTGCCACTCAAAAAGTAACAATTTATGACCCTAAACCATCTAAAATTCAAAATCAAATATGGCAGTCCCCTTTGGTAATGCCCTATACCTACCCTTCCAATAAAAACACATGGAAAAGCTCCATGTCCACATGAAATTCCCTTTCTTTTCTTTTTAATCCATGAGAACGAAAAAAGATAAAATCAACAGAATGTACAAAAACGTAGTTGAAATATATCGGTCATTGATAAATTTTAAAGATCACAAAAAAGACCGGCAAACATCAAATTCTCATTTTAATTTCTAAACTCAGGTCAGTCAAAATTGAGGAACCCTATACCCAATTTCACAAGAGCTTCAAGGAATGCACAGCGACTCCATTTCGAGCAGCAGGAATACGTCCCACCTTCCTAAGCGGTTCCTGCACAAAAGGGCATAGTTTAATAGCAAATTAAAACTAAATTAGTTGAAGAAAATGACAAAAGCCAATGCATGACCTTGATTTGGTAGGGTAGTGCCAAAATAATGGAACTCAACACAATGTAAATAAAGGGGGGTTCAATGCAAAAACTATTTACATGTGTTATTTAGAAACTGGAGTTCAAAAAGATCAATTCTTTCAGTTGCATTTAGGGGTGAGCAGCGGATATGCCGATCCACCAAAACCGACCGAACCAAACTGATCCGCTGCATTTTGGACCGATGCGCGATGACGAGCGGACGATTGCGGATTGATTTTCTCCAATCCGCCAATCTGGCGAATTTGAGATTCCTTTAACCGCAACCAAACCGCCAAACCGCGAACACCCCTAATAATTTATAAAACTTTGTATTTTCAGTTTGTTTAAATATTCTGTTTGTGTTTTCAATTAAAAAGAGTTTAAATATTCTGTTAAAAAAAGTTTTCAACTTGAATATCTTTTTTGAATTGAAAAAAATAAACGTATTATCTATCTATATTTTTTGGTTTTTAAATCTATCTCGAAAAATAATAAATAGAAAATATGATATATGCTGGTTGATTTTTGTTTTAAAAAATAGATATAGATGTAACAATACAGAGACATACAATCTATACTACTACTCTGTTCATAGTTTTAGTGGTTTGGATTATTTTTATATTTTAATAACCACATATTGTAATACTTTATGTGGATGAAGCATGCAGTGATTGTAATATTTTTTTAAGTCATTACTTGTAATACTTTCTTCTTCTTCTTCTTTTTTTTTTTTTTTTTTTGAGGAAGTGCACAAGTTGAATTATATTGAAAATTTATAAAATTTTAAACCGGCAAACCGATTTGCATCCATCCACCAAACTGCCAATCCGCTCAATCCACATCCGCCGGATTGGCGGACGGATGCGGATTGATTTTCTCCAATCCGCCAATCTGGCGGATGGATAGCGAATTAGAGATTCTGTGGCCGCACCCGACCCACGCCCACTCTTAGTTGCATTCTTATTGATATTTAGAATGTGAGATGAAACAACATTTTGACTATGAAATGACTTTGAAGAAAGTGAAACCTTACCTGCCCAACTCCAGCCACCAGGAATTGTCCAGATTTCGCAAAAGCCAATGAATTTACAAACCCCACCTGTGTTGCAAAAGACATGCATATAAAAACCATTAAAACCAGATTGACATAGACATACCAGTACAGCAACCATGATGAATCTAAAACGAATATACACCAGAGGTAAGAGCCTAGAAAACATTTAACCGTGCCAAGGGCTTAATAAAAACAACAATCTTTAGATATTAGCACGTGCACTCCATGATTAAGCGTTTCAATTTAGATTTATTTGTTTTTGAGGTCAACTACAAAGAACCTTTTAAAGGCCTCTTCCCTATTGTAGTCACAAATGGATCTGAACGAATTGTAGGCCCATTCAGAGAGCAAGAAGACATCACAGACTTAACATGCTTATAAATTTGACGGAATTGTATCTATTGCGCATAAACTTAGCAAGCATAGTATCATTCACGCGTCCACACCGTGTCAGATGTCATCATACAAGCAAATTCCTTCTCCTTATGGCCTACCTAGAGTTCTATTCTTCTTTAGTGCAACAGAATTAAGATGTCCCTCTGACAGGTTTATTAAAAAGTCTTTGGGATGTTTTGTGACAGGTGTATTAAAAATACAATACACAATTCAACAACAACAACAACAACAAAGAAAAAAAAGAAAGAAGCAAAAGAACTCTCAATCACAGACCCAAAATGAAGCATATGTCACTACAATAATTATATTCACAAAGCATCACAAAAGAAACTAAAATTTGGTACATATAAGCTTACCACTGGGAGCTCAAATAAGGGCCGTAAGCCTTTGGACTCATTTTCAATTTCCCATAGACGAACATAACCATTACCAGCTCCTGAAGCAGCAAGATCACTGCTTCTACATACAGCAACAGAACTCACCCAGGAGTGTGCTGATGAAATACAGTTTTCAGGAATGTGAATGCCATTTTCTGCAGGAGTGGAATCTAAAGAAAACATCTCATCACAATAGTGCTTAATCAGTCTATCAAAGGTACTGTGATAATGAATACAAATTCATAAATAAATCCACTGAAGCAGAGTGAAAGGAACATAGAAAATTTAATGCTGAAGGAATAGTCAAGTACGAAAGGAATCAAGGGTTCTAAGCTTTGTGTGCAAATGATTCTAAAAAGAATAATGTGTCATCTCTTAAGCAGAAATTTTACCTGCGTGCCCATTTGGTAATCCTTCATTACTTCTTTGTTCCAACCCGTGAGAAGTCAACAAAGCATGGGCATTTCTTATGATGTGAGCGGGCTTCTTCCGCAGAATGTTCCAATGCTCAATACTTCCATCATCCGAGCCCGATAAGAATTCGTCATTATTAATAAAACAACAGCACTCCAGAGATGTTGCTGGAGCACGAAATACTAGCCGTGATTCTTCGGGGACCTATTTTGCAAAACAGTAAAGTAACTGTCAATAGCAGATGAATGATAAAAAAAGAAAAGACTTAGCCAAAAGTACTCACAAATATATGTATATGCATGTGTTTATATATTATTATAGTTTACTGTCCTGCCAACGTGTCCTTAACCCATTTATAGAGTCTGCATCACACAGATATCTAGATAGGTAGTCGAAAAAATATAGAAAATATACATCTGCAGAGGTCACAAACAAGAAAAGTGTTTTACCTAGACTTGACAAAAAAATGTGGTTTGGACAAAAGAAGAATATAGATGCCTTACTACATCAACAAAATAACTCCCTCAAAAGCTTAAAAAACCCCTCCCCACTTATTTTTTGACACACTACATGTGCTTCTCATACTAAGGAAGAGGTCGATAGTACAAAATATCAGCTGGTGATTGTCTTAAAAACCTAGCATCAAATCTTTCATCAGACTTTTCTAATATTTTTTCTCGTTTGTGTGCGTGTCTGGTTGGGTGGGGAGAAGCGGGTTGATAGGTATGATAAGGACTGCAAATGAACAAGGTTGTTCATGAACTTGTTCGTGTTTGCTTATTCTGTAAATTAGCCGAACTTGAGTTCTATTTATGAGCAGCCAAGCTTGAGCATAACCAAGCTCAGCTTGTCATGTTTGTGAGCACATACATATAATCTAAAACCGACAATACATATCCATCGGTTTAGCTTTCTAGGTAAAGGGCTAGGCTTGTGTTCGTTCATTTAATAAAAGAGTGAGCACAAGCATGACCAGTGTTGAGTTTAGCCCAGCTTGGCTCATTTGCAAGCCCAAGCGCATTCTCCACTTTGGGCCCAATAACAATACATGCTAAGTAAATGATCAATTCAATCTGAAAATTTTCCTAATAGGTGATGTCCATCTGACATATTAATTGAGACCCTACACTTGGAACAAGGCATTCCCATGATGAATTATGGTTTCTTGTTTCTCTCCATATAAGCAGTTGAGTGGAAGCTACGAACCAAAAAGAACAAGTTCTAGACAAACAGACTATCGTATGTCATCCATAATCACGCAAATATATTTTACGCTCCTTGGTCTGTGTTCTAATAGTTACCATAGAAGAAACAAAATAAGGGATCAGGCAAGTCCCAACAGCCAAATAAATAACAATGACAATAAATTGAATTGCCCATGTCTACAAAGGATATGAACAAAATTCCAAGTAACCACTAATATACAGAGTTGTTGCTTACTTTAAACAAGTGCATAGCCCGATCACGTCCAGCAGTCAAAACCCGTTCTTTCCTCAAGCAATCAATAGTTAACACTTCACTTTGGTGACCAAATAATGTGCTTATGTAAGCTCTATCTTCTGCATTCCATATCTTAACAGTTCGATCAAATGAACCCGAAAACAGTTCTGAAGTCCCTTGTCTGAAAGTCAAACATGACACAGGTCCTTGATGACCTGGAAAAGCCTGCAAATCACATTATGACAAGTTACAATAGTGACAAGAAACATGAACTGAAGGCATTGGCACAATGATGTAGCATTTAACAAGCTATAGAGTGACATTCATGCATTAAGGCCCATATCAATTTGAAATTTTATTTCAAAGGGATATAGTGAAGGTTCAGTTCAGCAGTCATGTCCAAGAGGTTCCTTAAAGGGTTCGCTGAAAAATTCAAAAGTTGGTCCCCCAAAAAAATGGAGACCGATTAATTCACATGATCAAAATATTAGATGAACGTGGAGAATATGACCCAACCAAAGAATAACCTATTACTCATTTTTATAAATTGGCATCAAATGGTGCATATCAAGTAGGACTTAAGTGTATTTTGCCACCGATGCAAACATCAAAGTCATGAATTTTCTTCAAACCCAAACCCCACCACCAAATTACGTATATAGACAAGTTTTAAATTCATGGCCCCATAGACTTAGGTCTCTCATGATCTCAAAAGAAATTGTTTTTTATGTTAAAATAATTCAATATGTGAAACATTCTTTTAATGATTATCCAGTTGTGGTTGGGAAATGCTATCTTTCTACTTTAAATTGTAGAAGAAACAGAGGATTATTCTAAAAACAAAAAATTCCAACCCAAACAAATAACCATAAATCAATTGATTCATAGGTCCTTCAAATTAGAACTTTTGTTCATGATTTGATTTCAGCACTTACTCTTTTTTCATACTATTAAATTAGGTATAGATTATGTTGAAAATGTGTATTCAGATAGATTAAGAGATTATAATTTAAACAAGTAAGCTTGGGGATATAAATGTCTTTCCCAACTTCAAGTTCTGTTTGTAGCCTTGTAGGCTGTTGTGGCCAGTAGCAGGCTTTCACAGTGCCTTCATAATCATTATATAAGACCCAAAGGCCATAAAAGTTATGACATGTAAAGCAACCTCTAACTGCTATCATAGCAGTAACAAGACTAGGATTATAGTCTGCCTAAATTTACCTGTTGTCTATGACATTCAACAGTATCCAATTTAATAGTTGAATATGCACTACGCACATGGCCAATCAAGACTTCCAGATCTTTAGGGAGTGAATGACCAAAAATATCACATTAATAAGCATGAACCTGACTTGGTTAATGCTGTTTTCTACAATTTATTAAAAGACACATGGTGCAATAGTAAATTGTATTGAGTATTGGTCCCTTGTGGCAGACACTGATTGTCCAATTAATACTCAAATAGGAAAATGTGGTTGTGACACAATACGGTATTGCAACATGTGGCATAAACTTGTTTTCCCCATGACTACAGCTTCAATTTTTTTTTAAATGCCTCCTTTACTTTAACTTCCACAATTTGCTCCCCCCATTATTTACCCTTCATTTCCATTACTTTTACCAACAAAAAAATTCCCTGGTTACCATGCAAGGTCAACTAAGTTTCATGTTGGCATCGGAATAACCATTTTTATCGGGAAAGGGTAGTGACGCTATCATATACACCTAAATCTCTTCACCTCTCACATTTTTCAGATAGGTAGACATCTTCACCCCTCACATACACCTCTCAAGTTCTAAGTATATAAAAGCATAATCATTAAAAAAATAATAATTAAAAACTACAAAAATTCCAGCAGGGAAGCTTTGAAAAAAAAGGCAAGCAAGTGAAATTATGGTGAAGCAAAAGAGAAGAAAAATGAGAAAAGCATTTTTTTTACAAATGGTACCTGAACATGCTCTCGCGTGCGGGTATCCCATAAATGAACATGACGATCTAAGCCTCCACTTGCTAAGTAACGACCATCTGAGCTAACAGCCAATGCCAAAACATGCTTACTTTGCTTTGTAGCTCTACCCTTTGGATCTTTTGCACCATGGGACCTTAGTACTTTCTCACTCGGCCAAAGGTATTTTTCAACTTTCCCACTATCTACATCCCAATGAACAATAGTGCCATCCTTGGAAGAAGAAAACCCCTTCAGGTCATCCTCAGACAGAGCTACAGCAGTGACGGACTGCCGGTGCTTCACCAAGACCCGATATCCATCAGCAGTTTCTCGCTTTTGAACCCTAAATTGTTTATAATAAATGACACAATCATACAATAAACAATCACAATTACGAAAGGAAATGAGCAAATAGATATATTGTTTCACAATAGTTAATATAATATACTCGATTTCAAAACTTATCAAACCCTGAATCTATTACCCACATGATTTATATACACAATACAGTTATAAATTCTCACATATAGATAATCAGACCAACATGCCCTACATAAAATTTCTCCAAAGTAGTTAGCAAACTTGTGGTAAGCATGGTTACTTCAAAAATACATGCCGTAGCTGTACATGATAGTGGTGCTTCGTATAGTACTTTTGCATACGTACCAGGAATACGAAACACGTATCAAACTTTTTTTTCTTAATTTTTACCGTACTCCATACATACCTAGCCGAAACAATAATTTTTTTTTTGATAACTAAGTTTCCAGGTCAGCTTACGGGCACCTTGACTAATCCCGAGGCCCTAAAATTAACGACCGCACAAACCCCTAGTGGCCCGAAGGTTAGGGATGTTTGGCCTTTGTGAGATTCAAACTTGCAACCTCTTGGGTGACAAGGTAACTCTTTTGGTTGCCTTCTTCTCCCACTAAGACAAACCCCTTGGGGTTTTTAATCGAAACAATATTTTCTTCTAATACAAAGATAAAATTAATTTCATTGGATTTTATTTATTATAAATTAATGCTTAGCATGATTTTAAAATTAAGTTATGATTTATAAATTATTAAAAATAATGACATTTAATTTTATTTTATATCTTTATTTTTTGGCATTAAATGTGAATCGTAAATTGGATCTTAACAAACTAAATCATTTAACTAATTTTTGTGTTAAATATTGCCGCAACCATAGCCATAGCTTACTTTTTCAAAATTTTACCGTATCAACTCATACTGTACTTCTTGCAGATCTTACTGTATCGGCTTACCCATACACGTATGCAGATGAAATGATTGATAGTTCAATTCTGAAAATTCATTGGGCATGAAGCAATTCAATATAATGCTGAAAATAATTACAATCTGAAATTGTTAAACATGCTCAACTATAGATAGGCGGTGCAATGGTTTTGGCACATTGATTCTATTCACATTAAAGAGAAATCCACAGTTTAAAATTCAAAAACTTTAACTATAAAATCAAGCTACAAGTAACTAAATCAAACAATTATGTACTATGCACCATAGAAAAGCAATATATTGATTCAATTTATGCTCTGAAACCGTAAAAATTACCTCGAAGCAATCAATTTGCGAATACGACCGCTCTCTTCAAGCTGCTCCTGCTGCAGAATCTGAGCTACAAGCGTGTCCCTCTCGCCTTCTCTCTCCCCCTCATCACCGCTCCCTCTCTCCTCATCCTCGTCCTCCTGCTCCCTCTTCGCTATCGCCCTTATCTTCTCCAAATACGCATCCGCAACTCTCTTCCTCTTCTCCGCCGCAGTCTCTTCTTCTTCCTCCTCCGCCGCCGATCTTCTTTCTCCGCCGGACTCGTTGAATTCTTCTTCCGACTCGTCTCCGCTCTCTATGTCCTCATCGTCAGCGATTTTTGTTCTGCGTTTCGGTTCGGCGTCAAAGAATGGGTCTGCGTTGATTGAGAAATCTCTCTTGGCTCTTTTGGTTCCCTTTTGAGCTGGAGCTTTCTTTCTCTTCAGGTTGTTGTTCTTCATGACGAAATGAAGCAATTCAATGCAGATAAAGGTGTATGTAGATATAGCAATATGCAGTTTTAGAGAGAGAAAAGTTGCAACGTTTTGAAATGATTAGGGTTTCTGATCACAGTTTCAGTGTAGAGAGAGAGAAAGAGATTAGGGTTTATCGTGAGGGTTTTGTGAGACAAGATAGAGAGGGGGAGAGAGATGTAGCGGTTGGGCCTAAACCTAATAGAGAGACGTTGCACCGGTCCAACATAGGCTATTGGGTCGGCCCAACACAATATTATAATTGTAATTTTTTTTTTTTTTTTTAGTTTGTGTGGTGTCTTAAAATTCATAACGATACAAATTTTAAATGCCCTATTTGGTGATTTAAATTTGAGTTTTGATCTTATTTTAAAATTTTTATCACCCAATCAACCTTTTGAGTTATATAGTAATTTATTATTGATTCAAGTATTATATTATCATTGATTAAAATTTTAAAATGTAATTTTGAAATTCGTACAATTTTCAATAACTGCTTATTAACTATTTAAATTTAAAAAATTTCATACTTTTTGAAGTATGAAACTTTAGTGAAAATGTAAAAGTTCACATTTTTAATTAACATATCATGATAATCTACTTGAGTGAAAATGTAAAATTTAGATTATCACTTTTAACTTGTCATAAATTATGGGAGAAATTATAAATTAGTGAGATAGTGAAATTATATTTGTATTTTTATCGTGGTTTAAATTTTTTGTGTATGCAAGTCTTTCTCAGGGTTGCAGCGTAAAATATTCTATGAATAATGTTTGAGAGCTCGAAAAATGTCCCCCCTAATCCCTCTAATGCTCAAAACGACGTCGTTTTGGGCATTATTTTTTTTTTTCCTTCTTCTTCTTCACGCAGCTCTGAGACAGAGGGAGAGGGAGAGGGAGAGAAAGAGAAAGAGGGAGAGGGAGAGAAGAGCTCGTCGTAGGGAAGAGCTTCTCGCCGTTGCAAGGAAGAGCTCGTCGCCTGCCATCGCAGCTCCTCGCCCGCCGTCGCAGCCACTACCTTTGCCTCTGTCTCCTTCTCCGCCCCCCGCCTCGGCCTCCACACCCCGATTTATTTGGCCCCCTCTAGTCCTTCGGCTTCCTCCTCCTCCTCCTTCCTTCTCTTCTTCTTCTTCCCCCCCTCTTCCTCCTCCTTCTTCTATTTTCTGCAAATTCGGGGGATTCGGAGGTAGCTCTTTCAAGCTACCAAGCATGACCCATATTCTATTTATAACTCAGGTTATGTTTGGCATCTTTTTCTTGGCTAAAATAGCCACAAAACACAAAATAAACTAAAAAGTTAATAAAATAAAGTATCACATTCAAACCATAATTATCTCATTTTGGGCAAATTACATAAATGGTCACTATAGTTTACCCATGATTTCATTTTGGTCCCTGCACTTCTAAATGTATCAAAGTTGCCCTTGCAGTTTGGTTTTTGGCTCGAACTAGTCCAATAGTTAACCGCCATTGGGATTTTCGACGGAAACCCATTTCCCCCAAGGGCAAGGTTGTCATTTCGACACCTCCATACCCATTTTCCCACCCGAATATGTAGCCTACATGATCTGTGTAAACAAATAGGGGATTAAGGTTAGGAAAGGGGTTAAAAAAAAAGGGAATACAACAAATTGATGAGAGCTGAGATTTGAATTCAAAGGTGTCTGAAGGAAATCTGATAAGTGAATCAAATCCATTAAAGTAAGAAAGCAACAAGCTTTAACGACCTCACCACGTATAATGATTAGCACTTAATTAATTAAGGAGATTTGAAATTTAATTGCCAATTATTCTAATTTAATCTGAGATTTACGAAAATTATGGAGATTGATTCATTTATGGTTCTATTAAGTATTTATTTTGGAATTAGAAATTGAAAGCCTAAATGGCTCAAGAAAGTGTAAATAGTAAATCGAATTTCGAGTATCGGACCATATGGGAAGTTTAATTAAATATTTGATTCAGATTTATAAAATTGAGATTTGATTAATTAGGTCCGAATTGGAGTTAATTTAGTTATGAAAATTGGGAATTAAGATTATTATGAATTAAATTTCTTTATGAGGCATTCAATTAAGATGTTCAATTGATTATGTAATTTATTGACAAAGATTTTGAAGTTTAAGCCGAATTTAAAGGCCTTAATGACTTGGGAAAATCAAAATTGATGATAGCAATAAGTTTAATTTAATATTTAGAGTCTTTTGGAAGTTTGATTAAAAATCTTATTCGGATTAATAAATTTGAATATATTTAATCAGGTTCTAATGGAAGTTAATTAGACTAATTAAACTACGTGGGATTTGAGATTAGTTATACTTAACTAATTTAGCGCTAATCAAAATTTATTAAGATTAAGTGATGCTTAATTAAATTAATCCTAGACATAAACTAAATTATGAAGCAAATTAGAATTATGTGAGTAGGTGTGCATGTAAGTGTTAAGGTGGAGCTCAAAGAATTATGCAAGTGTGCACACGTGTTACATGGTGAAGAAGTGAGGTGTGTGTGAGTGTGTTTATTCTGATCGGTTCAAGAGTGTTATTCATTTGTTGTGCGGGAAGACTTTTGAGGGTCTAGAAAGAGAGAATGAAAGACCCAAAGGATTGAAGAAGTAGATAAATCAAAGAAAAACTCAAGAAATTGGAAGAGAAGGTGAAGATCCAAGGGAAATTAATTACAACTTTTGAAGTTAAAACCAAAGGTAAGAAAATTAATACTCAATTTATATAGAATCTTTTACTTTATATTTGAAATTAAGAAGAGTTTAAGATCAATTCCATGGAATTTGTAAGGAAATGGGTTTGAATAGGAAAATAAAGCTAGATTCATGGTTATGGAAATAAACATGAAAATTGATTATTTTTGGTTTGATGTTGAATATCTTGCATGAATTTGGGTCTCATTTCTACGTGCATGTAATTTGGAAGAATTAAAAGAATAAATAAATATGGATTTTGATCTTGATTATTAATCCATACATGTAATGGAATTTAAGAGTTTGACTCAAATTAACCATATTTTGGAACATCTATGATTTAAGGAAATAAGTTTGGAAAGTGGTTAGTTTGAGTTTAATTTTATCATTCTTCATAAATTTGAAACTCAACCTTACATGCATCATGGAATTTTAAGGTTTTGAGATTTTAATTTATGTTTATGAGTTTGAATTTGGATTTGATATGAGAAAAATTAATAAAAATCTAAATTAGAGCAATTTAAGATTTTAATTATGGATTGAGCTTGACTATATAGAATTAGTTGGATTTTGATAAATGTTTCATGTATGCAAATGATTTTCTAAGGAGTTTATGACTTTAATTTCATATTTTTAAGGAAAATAGAAAGAGCTTGAAGTCAATTTTATATAATTATATAAATAAAAAAAAAAGAAAAAAGAAGTTGGAGTTATGTTCATGATTATGAAAATTAATTTAGAAATTAATTATTTTGGGTTTGATTTTGAATATCTTATAGGAATTTGAGCCTTATTTTTATATACATGTAACTTGGAGAAATTAAGGAATTAATTCATGAACATGTTAAGGTTAATCAATATAGAAATAATTATAATTCTTCAATTGAGCTTGGGTTTGGAAACCTTAATATATATGAGATGTAAATTTACATGCATCATAGATTTCTTAGAATTGATTTCATGTTTTGATGAAATAAGAACTAAGCTTTGGAAAATTATGAATTTATGAACAAATGAGTTCAATTTTTAAATTAAAGGAGTTTTGATGTAAATTATTTAAAATTGATCATATTTTCTTGATTATTTAAGAATTGTATGTTTTTAGATAGGCCATGTATGAACCCAAGTCTTGAAATTATTTTGAGAGCTCAATTCAAATTTTAGAATTTGTGAGCTTTGAAGTTATGAAGTGAGTTTGATATGATTCGAGTTTATGAGATGGATTTATGTAAATTTGATATTCAAATCTTGTAAAATTGGCCCTTATATTCATGTTAAAAGTTATATGGTGGAAATATGAGTCTTATGATATTAATTACATTGGTTGGGACCAAGTTTTGAAGCTCAAATAATCTAGAAAAATCCAAAATCCGACATGTCCGCTCGAGCGTACCCTGTTTTACTAGACTCCTCGCTCGAGCATCAAAAGTATCGCTCCAGCGTAATTTGCGAGCAACCAGTACTTTTGCAGACCAAAGGGGTCCGCTCGAGCGGAGGGCCTTGTTTCAAAAATTTTGAAAATATGTTTTATGCTTCGTTTTCCGTTCTATTTCATTTCAAAGTACTCTTAGGCATGCATTAAACATTGCAGATGAATTAAAGAACATGAAAGGAGCCTAAGAATGTTAAATAAGTTAAAGAATGAAATGAATTGTGATATGACCAAATGTGTTATGAATTATGTAGGGTCAAACGCATGGACGAATCAAGCACCAGAACATTGTGAGTAATAACATAGTAAAGCTCTGTTCAACTTTATTTATTTTTTGTATGATGTAATAAGATTTGTTTTCTGAAATGCTATGTTCTGTACAATGAATGATTGTCCAATTTCTGACATATATTCGTGGCATCCTTAGCATCATGTGATATATGTTAGTTTTTACCTGGTATCGAAGGTTCCATTATGGAACTTAATATGTCTGCACTCTGTTACCCGTACCGGGGGCTCTATCATAGGGCTCAACATGTTTATTCTCTGTTACCCGGATCCGGAGGTTCCTTATGGAACTGGTTAATCATAACCACCACGTGTCTGCATTTGTTCTGTATCTGTTCTGTTAGCGCTAAGGGATGTACCACGTATGATTAAGCATGGACTCTGATTTCTGTATTTGATTTGAACAAGAATATGAATATGAATCTGTTTATGAATCTGAATTATGATTTCTGAATTTGGCATGAACATCATTCATTAAAACCCTTTACTCTGTTATTATTCACTAGGCTATAGCTCACTGTAATATTTATGTATGTAGGTGATCAGGCGTGTGACCAGGCTGAGAGGCATTTGCCTGGAATCTGTTTTTGTCAGCCAACCTATGTGCCTCCCGTAAAGGTTCCGAATATGTCAAGTGACTATGGCTATGGGATTTAAAGTTTAAGTTTTGTTTTCGTGTTTGGTTGAACAAGTCTTGTGTATTTTGTAAATATGGCTAAGTCCCATTTTGTCTAATCTGTATATATATAATGACGTAAGGATGATGTGTATATATGTATATAAAAAGTTTAAAATTTTTCTGTCTCACATAAGTCTGCACAGCTCAATGGACGTTATATATTTGTTATTTGCTTCCGCTAGCCCCTAATATTATGTTAATCTGTCTCAGAGGCCTTCGGTAATCTTAGGATTACTAGCCGGTTACGATGCTAAACCGATAGGGGCGAGTTTGGGTTGTGACACAAGCCAAGTCGATGGCTCTGAGAGATGTTTCATCTGGGAGCCCTCAATATGGTATTTGACTTTTATGACAAACATTTGTTTGTTTATGTATATTGTCGTCTTCATTTTGGTCCCTCTACTTCATAGTGGTTAAACGGTGATTTATGCATACATATAGGTTATTTGTATTTAGATTCACCTTTGTTTTGTTTTGTTTTGTTTTTTTTTTTGTTTTGTTTTTTTTTTGTTTTTTTTCTTGTTGGATTAATCTGAGATGCACCTTTTTATATGTTGGATTCTTTGTTTTGTTCCCTCTTTTGTTGACATTGGTTCCCACACGAATAGACATGTACATGGGGAAAAGTAATCAGCCCCTAACAATTTTGATTAATTTATTTTTTTTTTAATCTCACAAATCCTGATAGTGATTATTTCACTTTAAAAATGCATCTTGGGGGAACATTTGTATGTAATCCAAATAGATTGTATGTGGAGGGGGGGAAGAAAAGTACTTTGACTACTGCAAAGCTGATTACATGAGTATGTTATACATAGAGGATTTGGTGGAGAAATTGGATTGTACTGGAAACATGTCATATTACTACAGAATGCCTAATAAAGATCTTACTAGTGTGTTAGTCAATGTAAAGAATGACAATGAATTGATGGGTATGCTGAAATTCTTAAATAGAAGTAGGCACATTGATTTCTATTTGGAACAGTATCCTATAACACAACCTAGTTCAATACTGATTGATGACATTGATGAGTTGTTTGGAGGTGAAGATGAGTTTCATAGGTATATGGATGTAGTAGAAACTCAGTTCCAAAAGAATGGTGGTAAAGAAACTGAGTTAGAACAAGGTAAGGGAGTAGCAGAAGTTGATGATTTGTTTGATAGTGGATATGATGAAGGTTCTCAAACAGAGTCCACAGATTTGGAGGAATATGAGGATAATGTAATTGATGAAAGTGAAAATGACATGCTATTTGAAACTCATGTGGATATGTGGTGGTTTAATGAGGGATAATGTCATTGATAAAACAGGTACTCACAAGTTAAAGAGAAGTGGGAGGATAAGTCAACTTCAAATGAGCTGAAAAGCATTGATTCAGCAACTGAATGTGAGGATAATGGGAAGAAGAAAGAAAAGTACCCTCAATTAATATGCATACAGATATGGTTAAGCCCTTTAAAGATGCTGTCTAACAACATGCTATAAAGACTGGAAAAACAATCAAGTTTGTCAAAAATGATAGCCTTAGGGTAAGAGCCAACTGTAAGCCTCCATGCAAGTGGGTCCTTTTTGCATCTAAGGTTCAGGGGGAAAATAGTTTTCAAATAAAAACCTATCACCCCACACACAACTGTGACAGAGTTTTCCACAATAGACAAGTCAATTCCACTTGGTTGTCTAAACAATACATGGAAACACTTAAGACCTACCCTTAGGAATGGCAACGGGCCGGGGTGGGGCCGGGGATGATACTCCCCGTCCCCGATCCCCGAAGGTTAAAAAATCCCCGTCCCCGGCCCCGATCCCCGACGGGGAAGGCATCTCCTCCCCCGCCCCCGTCCCCGTCCCCGTCCCCTAACGGGGATCGGGTTTCCCCGACCCCGAAAAATCCTCGACAGACCTATTCACAACACACACACTGATCTGTTCAACACACATACGCACACACACACACACACACAGATCTGTTCAACAAAAAAAAATATATATATATATATATGTATATGGACAACAATCTACAACAGATCTAGAATACACACACCCATACAACAATAGATCTAAAAAAAAATTAATTTGTATATATATGGACAACACATAGATCTATATATAGATTATTATTTCCAGAACCAAATACGGGGAACAATGGCAAGGAAGGCCACTATCACACACACACATACACACACACACATATATAGAGAGAAAGAGAGAGGAAAAGAGATGCACAGATCAGTGGCTTGGCTTGATAGTTCACGGATCACGATCTGTTAGATCGGTGGCTTCACGTCGGTGGCTTCACGGTGGTGGATCTGGATGATGATGATGATAACGAGGAGTGAGAGAATGAGAGAGAAATCACCGTGGATCTGGACGATGATGATGATGATAACGAGAAATGAGAGAATGAGAGAGAAATCAAAGTGAGTGAGTGAGTGAGGGAGAGGGAACGTAAGAGGGAGAGGGAGAGGGACACGGAGAGTGAGAGGGAGGGAGATGAGAGACGCTGTGGTGAGTGAAAGGGAGAAGGACATAGAGAATGAGAGGGAGGGAGATGAGAGATGTGGTGGTGAGTGTGAGTGTGAGTGTGAGAGGGTTTGGTTTTTATATATACATATAGAGAGAGGGGTAAAATGGTAAATTCATTTCGGGGACCAGCGGGGACGGGGACAGAGACGGGCCGGGTACGGGGCTGGGACACATATCCCCGTCCCCGGCTCGAAACTGATCGGGGATTGAATTTTAAATACCATCCCCGTCCCGTTGGGGATATTTTTTGAGGAAAAACCGCTCAAATCGGGATCAGGGGGTCGGGTCCCCGTCGGGCCGGGTTCAAATTGCCATCCCTACCTACCCCACATGGCCCTTCTCTGTTTTCCAAAAAGCTGTGCAGATGGACCACAAAGTTGGGGTGTCAAAGAGTCAAGTTTATAGGGCCAAGAGGAAAGCACAAGGCCTAATTCAGGGTAGCCATGAAGAATAATATGCAAAGTTGTGGGATTATTGTGAAGAAATTAGAATATCAAATCTTGAGTCAACCATTATTGTGCAGGTTCATGAGATTCAGCTAGAGGATGAGGATGATATAAGGAAATCAAGATTTGAAAGGATTTATGTATGTTTGGGGGCGTCTAAGAAAGGCTTCATTGCAGGATGCAGGCCATATATTGAAGTGGATGCTTGCCATTTGAGAGGTCCTTACAAAGGCCAGTTGCTTCAATCTGTGGCCATTGATGGTAACAATAACACTTTTCTAGTGGCTTTTGCTGTAGTGGAAGGGGTAACAAAATCCTCACGGAAGTGGTTTCTGAAGATACTACAAGAAGATCTAAGGATAGGCAACGACAAATGGTTTACAGTCATGTCCGATAAACAAAAGGTAAAGGTTTTGGTATTCTTTCACTTAATTTAACTAGTCTTTTGTGGATAACCTATATTACTTGCTTTTGGGTTGGTTTTTAATTGTTGTTGTCTTGTTTTTGTTTTTGTTTTTGTTTTTGTTTTTGTTTTTGTTTTTTTTCCATTTATTTTTGTCACAGGGACTGATTCCAGCGGTTGCAGAGGTGCTTCCATATGTTGAGAACATATTATGTATTAGGCATTTCTACAACTTCAAAGACAACTTCAGGGGCATCCATTTAAAAGAAATTTTGTTTTGTACAGTCAAAACCACATATGTGCAAAGGTTTCAATATCATATGGAAGATATAAAGAAGACAGATGAAGATGCTTTCACATGGTTGGCAGACAAACCACCTTGCTTCTGGAGCAAGTCTCATTTCACAACATACAACAACTATGATGAGTTGGACAATAACATATGTGAGAGCTTCAACAGTTTGATTCTAGATGCAAGAGGTAAGACTATTTTGCCACTACTTGAGGATATTAGATGCATTTTGATGAAGATTATGCAAATAAGGAGAGAGGAAATTAGGGCATATGAGGGTCCTATATGTCCTAACATCCAAAAAAGATTAGAGAAGAGAAAATTGGATGCATGTAATTGTATTGCAATTTGGGCAGGGGAACAAAAATACCAGATCAATTACTTTAATGGACAACAATTTGTGGTTGATTTAGAAGATAGCACCAATTCATGCAGAAAATGGGAGTTAACTGGTATCCCATGTTGTTATGCAATAGCAACCATTTATGATCAACATGAGAACCCTAAAAAATATGTGGCACACTGGTTCAGGAAAGAGACTTATATGGCCTCTTATGAGCCACTAATCTATTTCATCAATGGATCTGAAATTTGGCCTAAGTCAGTGTTAGATGCATCACTGCCACCTAAAGTCAAAAAACAACCAGGGAGGCCAAAGAAATTGAGGAGGAGAGAGGCAAATGAACTCCAAAACCCTTACAAGTTGAAGAGAAAACACACTACAACCACATATGCCGTATGTGGTCAGCTTGGACACTATAAAAGAAGTTGCAAAGGTCAACCAGTTGAAGGCAATGCTATAAAGGCAAACTTATCTATAAGTAAAGTTATTGTCAATTTATTTCACTCTTACATTGCAATTTCTACGAGGCATTGATTGATTAATTGGATTACATTTCACCATGTTTGAAGGTAAGGAATAATAATAGTTCAAGCCAAGTTGAAATACCTCCAATGGGTACTGAGCAAAACATGGCAAGGAGGAGTAAGGCAAAGGTTGCTGCTGCAGGAGGTAGTGGCTGTAACGCCCCAAATTTCTAGCCCAAATGATAAGACAACAATCATGGCTCTTTCAAGGAAAACCAATCTCCAAACTTACATTACATAATACAATAGTTCTGCATGCAACAATACATCAATCCAACAACAAGTAAATAAACAAATAAATACCCCCAAGGGTTTACAAGTTTCCAAGGCTTGAGCCTGGTTACACAAAACGGTTATTCAAACCCATACAAACACAGCCATTGGCTTACACACAGAGTCACAGCAAATGAGAGCATTGTACTCTCAACACACATACTTCCACGCCCCTAGTTGGGTGGAATCACCGCATCTTTTCCTGCACAAAAATCCCGTAAGGTGAGCATAAAGTCTAGTAGGAAATTCTTAACAAAGTACATACATTTTATACAAGTCTCAAGAGATGAAATACACATGCCATGCCATGCTATTTTTGAAGATAAATGACATTTTCATCATTTGAAAACCATTATGCTTAATGATATCATGCAATTTCAATTGTTCAAAACTTAACAATTTATTTCAAGGGCAGTAAATACGACTCTGGTAATCCCTAGGTCGGTATCTGGAAGTAGACTATAGAAGTACTACCAATTTGTCATTTTTACCAGCATTGACTGGAAGGCTCGACACCTATAATTTGTCATTTTTACCAGTATTAACTGGAAGACTCGACACCTATTCAATTTCATGTACACCACCTGTCAAGACTTACCACCGTATTTACCCCAAAACCAATTCATGGAAACTTGTTTCTCAACGTTCTTTTCTCAATGCAAATTTTCAAATCAACTTTCAAAGTTTAATGTAATCAAATGAATTGATATGTCAATAATACAAAATGAATATAAATACTTTTATTCCAATTCATTATCAATTAGCCATTTCCCTCTTCTCAAGTATCCTCAACAATTAGCCATTTCAAGACTATTTCAACGTTTTGAACAATAATTTCCAAAATGAACAACAATTCTCATATTCCCTGAAATTCATCATTTATATAAATATAAATAAGAAATTTACAAACATCCATTTATTTTGACACACAAAATAAATATAACAATATCATTCATGGATTTTCAGTCTCTTTTAAAAAAATCTCCAAATTCTAGGTTTTCTCACCAAAACTATACAACTCAAATCTTTTGAAAGAAAACTTTCCAAAATCATTTTTTCTTTAATCAACGAAGATCAAAACCCATAAGATCATTTTAAAAGAATAAGAGACAAACCCACTTTCAAAATCGCTCAACTTCTTCAATCAACAATCAATTTTCAAAGCTATTGAAGGATGATTTCGAAAATCATCTAGATCTTGCAAAAATATATATATAACTCTAAGAAAATCCCTACCTCAAGTTTTGAAGAAGAAATGAGATGAAACCCCCAAAATCAACGGTGTCGAAACTCGATCTTTACCGCACACAACAAAGCCCTCGAGAAGTTAACCAACTTTGATGAAGAACTTATAGCAGAACTCTAATGGATCTTGAGAAATCAAGGTTTTGATCATATTTGGCATAGGGAAATGTAGAGAGAAGTGAGAAAAAAGGGTTTTTAGAGAGAAAGAGAGATATACAAAAGTGATCTGAAATATCAGATTTATAAACTGATATAACATGGTCCGCTCGAGTGTGGAAAGCCCCGCTCGAGTGTCAAATACACTTTCCCAGTACTTTTGCAGACAGGTCAAACTTCTGAAACCAAACATTCTCCGCTCGAGCGCATAAACGGCCGCTCGAGCAGACAAGCAACTTCTAATGCATTTTTGCATTGTTGCTTATGGCAGAACTCTAATGGATCTTGAGAAATCAAGGTTTTGATCCTATTTGGCATAGGAAAATGTAGAGAGAAGGGAGAGAAAAGGGTTTTTTAGAGAGAGAGAGATATATATATACAAAAGTGATTTGAAATATCAGATTCATGAACTGAAATAACATGGTCCGCTCAAGCGTCAAAAACATTTTCCCAGTACTTTTGCAAACAGGTCAAACTTCTGAAACCAAACATTCTCCGCTCGAGCGCATAAACGACCGCTCAAGCAGATAAGCAACTTCTAATGCATTTTGTATTTTTGCTTCGGGGGCGCTGCCCCTCAACCCCGCCAAGACGCTGCCCTAGGACTCGCCAAGGGGAGCTGCCTCCTGGACCCCTGCGAGCTGACCGGACAGCTTTATCCTCGCCAGGGCGCTGCCCCGTGGACCCTTGCGAGCTGACCGGGCAGCTCGATCCTCAACATAGTCAGCGAAGTGGCAAAACTGGGATCGCTACAGTAGCAATCAACCAAGCATGGACACCAGGGCAAAGACAACAAATGCAATACCTATTGGCAGTTAACCAAGCATAGGCAGTAGGGCAAAGACAGCAGCTGCAAGACCAAATGCTAGTCAACCAAGCATGGCCACCATGGCAAGGGCAACAGCTGCAAAAAGGTATTAGCAGTCAACCAAGCATGGCCAAAAAGGCAAAGGCAGCACCTGTAAGAGCCAGTGGTAGTCAACCAACCATGGCCAACAAGGCAAAGTCAAGGCCAAACATTGAACCGTACATGCCTACCATGGCAAGGTTAACACCACTGTCTGGATTTAGTTGTATTTCCACAACTCAGTCATCAACATCTACACCTACAGACTCATTCATATTTACGGGGAGAAGATTGGTGTCCTTGTCTCCACAAAAACAAGCTGCAAGTGTCACGACCCGAACCCGCCCCTATGGGTTAAGGTCATAACCGGCCAGTAATCACAAGATTACCTGCGGCCTCAAATCAAACCAGACAAAACTCATCAGAGTAAAGGGGCCAAATTGGAAGCAAATTTAAAATTTTGTCCATAGAGCCGTACTTATATACACATCATAACATTCTATACATACATATGTTAATAACTTACAACAGAAAGTATAGCAACATGAAGTTCTATACAAACAGGATCATTCAAATCTAAGTCAACCAAAACAAAGCTATATACAGACGTACACCAAAGTCCTTGCCAACATGACAAAATAACATAGAATGACAGAAGGGCGAAGACGTGTCTCGTGCGTGAGACGCAAGAGCTGACTCTTCAAAACCTTAGTTGTTCCAAACAGACTTCACTAGGGCTGGGTTTGGACTTCTCTTGGCTCACCTACAAACACATGAATGAGCGTGAGCGAAAGCCCAGTGAATAATATCAAACAAGGAATATACATTGGAACAATATACATCGAACGGCCTTGGGCCCAATTTATATTTCTACTAATACATACATACATAGACATATGTAAGTTAAGTAACTGCGATTCCAAACACATCATACGGCCGCAGGTCCAATTCATTAGTGTCAAACTGTTATTCGTGTTAAACTGTTATTCATGTTAAACTGGCCTCTGGCCCATTCATGCATGTCAAACTTTCATTTGTGTCAAAACGGCCTTTGGCCCAACCATTTGACATCGGCCTTCGGCCCAATCATTCAGGTCAATCGACCTTCGGCCCAATCATTCAGGTCAATCGACCTTCGGCCCAATCATTTATTCTTGTCAAAACGGCCTTCGGCCCAATCATTCATGTCAATCGGCCTTCGGCTCAATCATTTATTCTTATCAAAACAGCCTTCGGCTCAATCATTCATGTCAATCGGCCTTCGGCCCAATCATTTATTCTTATCAAAACGACCTTCGGCTCAATCATTCATGTCAATCGGCCTTCGGCCCAATCATTTATTCTTATCAAAACAGCCTTCGGCCTAATCATTCATGTCAATTGGTTGTCCACAATTCAAACTAGCAAACTTGTAAAGAAATAAGCAATTAGACAATTGACAAACTTCAAAATATCGATATTACTCACAGTGATCGGCTTATGGATTTGCCCTGGAGTTTGACCCTACACATCATATAACACATATGGGTCACAAACGATTCAATCTGTTCTTTAATTCACATATTCCTCTTTAGGCTTCATTCTTATATCTTTAACTCAATTACAATGCTTAATGCATGCCTAAGAGTGCTTGCAAGTGAAAGAGAACGGAAAACGAAACACAGAACGATCACACAAAATTTTCAGAAACAGGGTCCCCACTCGAGCGTGGACTTCCCCGCTCCAGCGGACCCTTGAGGCCTGCAAAAGTACTGGTTAGGTCAAATTTACACTCGATCGTTCACTCCGGCGCTCGAGCAGAAGGCCTCTCTACATGGCTCCCCGCTCGAGTGTCAAATTCCCCGCTCGAGCAGACACCTTGCCTGCAGAAAATACTGGGAGCTCGAAATCCCCGCTCGAGCGGCGCCTTCCACGCTCGAGCGGACGTCATAGATTCTAGGTTTTCCAGAACTGTGTTCTTGAGCTTCAACTTGATATACAAAGGTTCAAAATGCATGTTTTTTGCTCAATCTTCACATATACATATACTAACATGGTATGAATACCAAATTACATCATTATGAAGCTCAATTTCTTGTATTACTTACATGCATGTCCCAAATTAATCCAAATTCATCACCAACACATCAATTCAAACATGCAAAGCTTACACTTTCATGATTTACACTTGTATGTGGCATATACATATTATTCTCAACTTAATTGGTGAAGAGATGATCAAACACATAGATTTCAAACAAGATTCAACATGTATTACATACTTTATGCCCAAACATGAAAATTTATAGCAATTTCCTACATGCATGCATCTATTGGCTTCAAATACAACAACATCAACTCAATTTCCTCATAATCAATTTAATCCATGCTCTTGACCATTATTCAAACTTGAATTCACAAGATTACAAACTAGGATCCATGAATTACTCACTTAGAGGCTTAATTCTCCCAATCTATAGCAAAATCTTGAGTTTAATCTTCAAGAGGTTCAAGTCTTGAACCAAAATTGCATAATTCTCCCCTTTCTCTTCTATAGCCGACCCTCTCCCCCTTTCTTAGAGTTCTTTTCAGCCAAATGAGAATTAAAAAGAGAATTTGAGTGAAAGTGGCCCACTATAAACCCCTACTCAACACAATATTTTAATATAAGGTA